ATCCACCACAGCACAGCCGTGCTCTCCGAGGACTCGATCGAGCTGCAGGTCACCACGCCGCCCGACGGGGTGAAGACGGAGCGGCCCGCCGCGGCCAACAGCCTCTCGCCGGGCGCCAACCCGTTCAACCCCTTCCACACGGCGACGACGACCGCCGACAAGCTGAACTCGAACGTGCCGCGCGACTCGTACCTCACCATCAACGGGATCGATCTCAAGTAGCGGCGGGTGGCGCGTGGCGGCTCTCCGCTGTCAGCCGGGGTCCCCTCGTCCGCCGAGGTCGTCTCGCCCACAGGGGTCGTCTCGTCCGCCGGGGTCCTCTCGCTCGCCGAGGTCCTCTCGCCCACAGGGGTCGTCTCGCCCGCCGGGGTCCTCTCGTCCGCCGGGGTCCTCTCCTGAGATCGGAGACGGTGCGGACGAGCGAGCCCGGCGCCGTCGCCGACAGCCAATCAGAGCGTTCCTCGGGGCGGCGAGATGTGACGTCATTTCAGGACGCCTTCACATCGCTCCGATCAAGCGTTTTCACGAAGTTGAATGTCGTGGAGGTCCATGCTGTGGCAGTTGAGTATCGAGTCGCTGCGCACCGAGCGGTGTCTGGCGCACGCACCGCTCCCGGTGGCTGGGTAACGGCAGTCACGAGCAATTACCGCGAGCCGTGAACGCGGCCAGGTCTGCCACCGCTCGCAGCCCGCGGGAGCAGGGTGCTTGGCCACTGCTACCGTCACAGGCGCTTGGCAAGCGCTCAGGAAAATCATGAATAGCCCGAGGCCATCAGCCGGGGCCCGGACTTTGGCTGTCGTTGGCGGAAGACGTTTACGAGGATGTCACAAATACGGAGTAAATATGGCGTGGGTGTGCGCTTTGCCTCCATCAATATTTCATGACATTCAGGCATGCTGCGGCGATGCAGCAATGGCGGGGCGCGCCAGGTAGTGTGCAGAGTGTTCGGCGTCAGCTGGTCTTACCGACGGCTGCACGTAAGCGGCCAATCATGCGGCTATCTTCGGCGAAACGGCTATAAAACCATCGTCTACAGTCGTTTCCAAAAAAACTTTGTCAATCACCACCGCAATGGGGAACCACTCGAAGGACTCCCAGATATTTGTGTCGATAACAATGACGTTTAATGGATGACGTCACCGCCTCCAGCGGTCAGGATTGGCAGGCGGCGGCGGGTCAAGGGCTTCACCGGTGTGGAAGGCGCTGGACGAGGGACGTTTTCGTGTCTGGCCGGCTGTTCGGCAACGATATCTTACACAGCTGTGATGTAGCATTCCAGTGTACGAGCAACTCCGTGCAGGTGTCCTCAGTACCGCCTGACTGCCTGTTGCGTGCGCGTAACCGTTCTTGTTCGTTGTTTTGTACAAATTTGCCGTTGTGGGCGGCTGGTGGCGCTAGACTGAGGAGGTGGCGGGGGCCGGAGGCTCACGTTGAGCTTCACTGTGGAGAACCGGCGTGGGTGATATGGTTTCAGCATTTCCCGCCAGCTGAGCATGGCCATGGTGATTGTGGACACGCCACTGTCAGCCAATCAGTTCGTGGGATAAGATCAGCCAGAGGCCGGCTTAAAGTGCCGATTTTGCGGTCGCGTGGCGCGCTGTACACTGGAATGGTTAGCCCGAAGTTTCTACTTCTTAGCGATTAGATTTGTTTTACGACTTGGTAATCAGCGCGCTGGAATTGCCTGCCGGCAGCGTGCACTGCGTTACCGGCGGGATGTTGCGTTTTATTGCGTGATGGTCTGGTGGTATGGGTGGTACTGCGCGCGTTGGAAGTGGAAGAGCAAGGAAGTGGCCGTCTACATTCGCATCAATTTCAGATTTTCGATATGCTCGTGTCGATGGCTGCAGTATGTAGGTATCCCTGTTATTCCTATCTGTCTCTGTAGCTGTCTTTCTCACTGTCTGGCTGAAATACTCAATGTTGTCTCACCACAGCGTTACGGTGAAATAAACAACCATGTGTGCGAACCAGAGTGTTGGCTGGATGGTCGTCACAGCCTTCAACGTCATCGCAGTAAAAACCCTTGGGGGACGTCCATACGTGACGTTAGTCATGGAGGGGGGGGGAAATGGAACGTAACCAAAGCATTACAAGGGGGGGGGTAGAAAGGTTGGTCAGCATGGTGTTACGTTCTGGTGTTTGTTTTGTACAAAACCACATTTTCGCCTCCCCCTCCCAGCTGGAAGCGAAAGGGCATTGTCTCTTCTGTCCCGCATTCACTGCTACGATGCCCCTGGGGAATGGAGAATCGAAAAATATAGCACTAGTGCATGGGCAGTCAGTCCCCTTCGCTTGCGCGGACATGCGATGAAGGTAAACTTCGTGTTACGTGAAGTAAACCTCCATTGCAGAAGCACTTCCTATACCACGATCACCAAATCTGGCTCAAAGCCGACGCGGTATTTTCATTCATCAAATGTTTGCAAGCGTATTCATATAAATGACGGCACGTATGACACTGCGTATATAAGAAATGTCAGCTGGTAAGTAGTGTGCATTGTGATATTCGTTCGTCATCTTATTCTAGGCAGTGGCAGAATAGAACTTGTTGATACGTTGACCGTTTTCTTGTGGGCGGTTCTGTTGGTTTTCTCTCCACGGCGCACGAACGTGGGGGCGGGGCTGCTGCGAAAGTGGAAAGTGGGACGGCGGGGTTCGTGCGCTATTTGCACGCAATTGTTAGTGTGTGGTCGAAGTCGGCTGTGTGCAGTCCATGCTGCTCATGTTTTTTACATGTAAGTTGTTTTTTTGTTGTCTATCAGCATATTTTTAAAGGCTTTGTGCTGTCATTTGTCCAGTGAGTGAATATATATATATATATATATATATATATATATATATATATATATATTGTGAATCACCACTGCTGAATAGGATGCTGCCACTAGACTGTTAGTCTGCCTTTTGCTCCTTGTGCATGTGCTATACAGCATATTCTGTCATCTCTTTCTTCATAAATGTGATGTCCTTACATGCTGTAACTCCAGAAAATGTGCATTGTCAACATTTCTTACATAACTGAATACATCATGCACAACCACCATAGCCCATTTTGGTGCTAAGAGTCATGATTATGTATGGTACTAAGGAGTGAGTGTGGAAAAATAGCAGTGCAAATCCCAAGGGTGTGGAAACTGGGGGATGGGGCAAGGAGCAGAAGCCTGAACATGATGAAACTCAATAGAGCCCATCAAATACTATACAATTTAAGCATTAGATGTGTGATTCTAAGTGGTTAAAGACATTCAACATGTGTTTTCTCCATGTAATCAAGAGTTATATTTAAGTTGAGCCACTGCACACCCTGGCATCTACATCTTCCATGTTCCACAGTAGCTGCTTATGTATGTCCTTAAAGCACAGTTCCTGACCAACAAAATTATGGATCGAAATTTGATAATGCTCTTGGATTGGAACATTTTGGGTCTGTGCCTAAACTCATTCACATGGGGAAGATGATTTGTCTTTGAAAAATATATTCCAACTAACTGCAATGCGCTCTCAGCCTTTCAAATGTATTGAATGCAGTGCCTCCACATCCCATCCCCATCCCAGTTGGTGCTACTTTGCTAGTACAGTTTAGTCAGTCCACCTAATAAAGGAGCATATAAAAAATGATATGATTTCTTCCAACAGGCCCCAAACATCTTTGACCACAGCCCAAACAAGCTTCCAGCAGCAGCAGACCCAGCACCACCATGCTGCACCTGCTGCTAGTACTGCTTTTCGCCAGCTTAGCTGCTGCACGCCAAAACGTGCTGGTTCTGGGTGGTAATGGATTCATCGGCGCTGAGGCGGTGGCGGCGCTGCTGCGCGAGGACGCCTACAACATCACGATCCTGAACCGCGGCTCAGAGAACTACGACGTGCGCGAACGCGTCTTCCCCTACGTGACGCGCCTGAAGTGCGACCGGTACGCCGCCTGCAGTAGCTGCCGGCAGGGAAATCCGCTGCTGGGCTGCGCCGATCTGGTGGCGGCGCAGCGCATTGTGCCGCAGTGGGACTTCGTCGTCGACTTCAGTGGCTACGATCCAGACGCCGTGGGGCAGGCGCTGGACGCACTCGGGGAGAAGATGAAGTACTATGTCTTCATCAGCTCTGACTCTGTATATGAGGTAAGGGCAGTGGTGGGTTGTGGCCTTGTGGTCTTTTGAGGCCTATTAGTCAAACCATGTGTCACTGAGTGGTGAACAGAAGCCCAAAGAGACCAGCCAGATATTTGACTATGATGCTGCGCAATACACACACAGAACCCATGATTGCGAGAGTCTGGAACTGTCATTCACCACCCCTTTCTCTTTCATGAATATTGAATCCACCCCCTTCATGGTGCGAGAGCCGTCGGCGGGCGGCTCGCTCACCGTCGCCCTGCGACGATCATGACGCACCAGTCGTCTCGCCGCTCTCAGCGCTGTACCCGCGCGGACGGCGCCAGCCTCGCCTCCGCCGACAGTGCCCTCGTCTGCCGCAGGTGTGCGTGCCGGGCACGGGCGTGCTCTCGCGCGAGGAGTCTGCGCAGCGGCCGGCCGACCGCAAGCTGCAGCGCCATCTGGCGGCGCGCGACGCGTACGGCGACCGCAAGCTGGCGGCCGAGGAGCTACTGTCGCGGCGGGGCGTGCCGCACCTGGTGCTGCGCCTGCCGGACGTGATCGGGCCGCGCGACACCACGCGCCGCTGGTGGCTCTACCAGCTGTGGATCGAGCACATGGCCGCGCTGCGCCAGCCCGTGCCCGTGCCGCCGTCCGTGCGCTACTTGCGCACCAGCTACGTGTACGTGTTGGACGTGGCGCGCGCGCTGGTGGCGGCGCTGCGGCGCGCGCAGCAGCCGGACGTGCGCGGGCACGCCTTCAATCTGGCGCTCGATCGCGACTTTCGGCTGGCCGAGCTGCTGGCGGAGATGGCGCGCGAGCTGGGCGTGCATAGCGTGGTGACGGTTGACGTGGCGCGCGAGGACGTGGCGCGCTTCCTGCCGTCCGTGTACCGCGGCCCGGTCAGCTGGCAGCGCGCGCGGGACGTGCTCGGCTTCGAGCCGACGCCGTGGCCGGAGGTGCTGCGCGACACCGTGCGCTTCTACCGCGAGGCACTCGTCAAGTTTCCGAACGAGCGGCGTAAGGTGTTCGCCACGCTGGGCAGCTTGTTCGAGGACGACGAGGCACGCAGCCGCCTCATGGAGCAGGTGGAGAAGAACCTGCTGGACGGCACGTTCGGAAAGCGGGAGGAGCTGTGAGGCGCCGTGCGTGCCGTCAAGAACTTGCCAGTCTTGAAGGCTTTGGTATGGGTTGCTTGTTTGACTTTGGCGACATAGCGATGCCAGCACCTACTGACCTGGAACCTGGTGTGGAAGGCAACCAGTAGCGCGGCGCCTGACGATCTTACAGTTGTTTTTGGTGCTGAGCGAGTCGCGATGCCTTGCAATGGCTGCAGGCAAATCTCAGAGTGCAGCAGTTTTTAGTCAATGAGACATGGTCTTCAAACCAGTTGTTGGGCGCCTTTTGCCCAAACCGCACATAATGAGCCCAGTGCCCATGCTCAGTATGATGATAACTCAATGGTTTCGAGAGCTAGGCGGCTGTGATTTTATATTCTCGTTCACTGACGTAAAAATGTTAATAGATAGTTGTGGTGCGTGTCGACAGCCATGGCTGGGAGCTTATATGCCAAATATATCTATGGGAAGCTTGGTGAACTTATGGCGGAGGGGCTATGTGTGAAACCGGCATTTACTTAACCCCAATTACCCGATTCGTCATACGTGTTGCTCGCAAAGCATGCACTTAAGGTACCGCCAGGGTATGTGCACGACTAAGGCTATGAAACACGACAAAACATAGTGACGGTGCAGTATAGAGCCCATGCTCCACCAGCGGTGGAGCAGCGGTGCTCCACCACACACCAAAAGCGTGGAGTTGGTAATTGTTTAGGTCACTTTTTGCCACGTAACATCGTGGGCGCAATGTCGGGTGACAACGGTGTGTGCCGGGCTGGATCAGCGGGATGGAATTGTATCTCCGACCCTTCCTTTGTCCCTGTCGCCTAACGCAAGGTACATATCCATGATGGAGGGCGCCTGCTTGTTACGTATTGAGCTCTGCAAGAGCACAACGCGCCTCCTGTCATTCATTGGCGTGGGGAGTCGTTCGCAGCTATGTTTGTATCGCCCATCTGCTTCGGAGGCTCGTGAAATGTTCGTGACTCGTTTACCTGTAAAAATATCTGTAAGAATCCATCTCTACATCTGAATTTTAACCATCTCTATGTTTGACCCTCGTGCGTTATTTTTGTATCCCGTCCAGCGGCGCTCCAGACGTTCTTAGCGCTAAGGCGTTGCACTTGTTGCACTCCGGGGATGCGGACCGCGGTCCCCGGGGTTCGCGGTTTTGGACGTCTATGCACGACAAGCCATAAATGCTTAGGCTGAGAGGTAGGGCGAAAAATGCCGTCGTCTTGTGTGAAAACGTGTGGTGCGAAGTTCGTGATGATGTCTCAAATTGAGACTGCAAATCTTCACCCCTGCTTTTAACTTGCCCCACAGGTAAGGGTCGAGGGGGACGTATGTACTTAACGAGAACACATTGTACATGAAGCGCCTTCTCATACATAGGAAACACCATCTTTGATCATAAGCCAGGGACAACGTGCCCAGCAGCTCCAATCTTACTTTACAAGTTGAATGGTTATGGCGGTGACAGCAGATGTCCTGCAACACTGTGACAGCAGCAGATGGCCTGCAACACTGGCATGATGCTGCTGCACTGAGGCCATCGCGACAGGCTTAGGCCAGTTTTTGCTTTTCAAGGTGGAGTTTTTGTATATGGTTGATTATTTGGCACAGCAGCTGAACATCATTGGGGTGTAGGTAAGTTTACAAGGTAGCTTGTGCTGATGTGATTAAACCTACTGCCCACTTATTATTTTACCTGCCATTCCCCACCTAATTTCGGTAAAACCAGTCACTATCCAGCTGATCTAGTCCAGTATCACACTGTGCTTTGTCATATTTCTACCATATTGAGGTATTTATCCGCTTCAAATAATTTAAAACACTACTCAAAAGCTCAAAAGTTTTACCACCCAGAAAAAGCAAAACCTGGCATTGATCCTCAAGCATGGCCTTGATGTGTCAGTATCATGCCATCTGTGTTATGGACTGACATCTGCTGTTGATGTCATAATTAGTACAATTTGATGGTGGGATGATGAGACATCTTAAATGTCCTTGCTTCATGAGTATTTAGGGTATTTCATAGGTCATCAGCATTGATCAATGCATAATGTGTTGCTGTAAGTTGGGGTTCAAAGGCTGATGATGCCCTAGTGCTCTGGTCTTTTTCCCTTGTAGCTTATAGCCCAGCCTAGCCCATTCTGGTCTTTCCAGTTCTGTCTGGTCCTGCCCATACCATGTAATCCTATGCAGTCCCATACAGTCCTAACTCCCATCCAGTTCAGTCCCACCCCATCCTATCTGGCCCAGTCTAGCCTCATCTGGCCCCATCTAGTCCCAGTCAATTATTGGTGACTATCTGCTATTATTACCATTGTTTATTCATGTATTTCATTCAACTTATCCCATTCAGCATTCAGCCTAGGTCCTGTCTAGTGCCATCTAGTCCAGAGTGGTCCTGTCTGTTCCAGTTCAATCTCTTCTGGTCCCATGTAGTGTTGTCCAGATTTGTCCTGTTTAATGTAATGCCCTCTGGTCCCATTCAGTTTTATCTGGGCTTATGTCTTGTTTCACATGTCATTATTTTATGACCAGTACTCCACACTTTGTGTAAATCCAGTGGCATAGAATGCACCAGCTGACTACACCACAACACCAGTGAATATCAGCTCACCACATCATGACTGGTCCTGGCTTCCTGGCAGGCTGCTACATACACCAAATTTTCTGATGTCAATTCTGCAGTGGGGATCGTGGTAATATTATGTACCCGTATATGGTGCTCACTGGTATACTAAAGGGCTATTATTATTTATTGTCATATAAGGCATCCTTTGATAACCATGCTGTGGGGCTTGTCACATGATCATATCACAAAGAGTGAGGAGGAAATTTATGCTGGTTTTACCTGATGTGTGATGTCACATGATCATATCACAAAAAGTGAGGAGAGATATATGCTGGTTTTACCTGGTGTCCAATTTTGTGGAGAGCTTGCTGTTGGGGCATTATCTATTGTGGCAACCAAAGCTCCATGATGCACATCCAGGTTGGTGGTAATGCATGCTGTAAATAATGCTATAATCTTGTGTGACAATCTTAGCTGTACAACTGTATGATCCCCATCTGAAATGATGATGGCAATTCTGGTCATGCGTGAGCCCTCATTCTCCCAAGTGTTGTCTGGCCTACACTGATCGTGGAGGTTGTGTTTCAGCATACAGCAATGGAAGTTAGCAGCAGCAGCAGCAGCAGCAGCAGTGGCAGCACTGGGCAGAAGCCACACCTGTCCGTCTCTGACCGGGTGGTGTGGCTCGGCCCACTGGGCACGCGCATCGGCACTGTCCGCTGGCTAGGAGAGCTGCCACATCGCGGCATCACCGTCGGCATTGAGCTGGTAAGGCTGGCAGGGGCCTGGATGCCCAACTTGCTGGCCCAGTCAGCAGAACAGTGCCAGGTGTTTGGCTGGAAGCTGTCTGCTGGATGTTGCTGGAAACACAGATGGATGTGTTAAGAGTCATATCCACCTGTGACACTAGGCCCATCAGCATTTTAGGTTATAATCCACTTCAGTGCTGCACACACTGTGTGCACTAGAAAGGTCAGGTGTGTCCTGTCTCACTATATTAGTGGTGTCCAGCTGGTCAAAATTGTGATTGTTGTATGCTACAATCCAATATGTGATGTTAAAAGGATATAAGTGGGTTCTCAAACCTACAGATATTCAGTCCTGGTACTCTTCCTGCTGCACTGTCAGTCTGCTTGAGAGAGGGAGGGGTAGGGGAAAGGAGGTAGCTCGGGGTTAGAGACAGTTTCAGTTCGTCTCATTCCCTGTGGCCCTTCGGAGTCGGTAGCCGGTCTGGTTGCGTGATCTCTTGAGACAGGGCGGTTTGGAGCCGGTGGCAGACCAGGTCACGTGACTACTGGGGCGACTCATGATCAGCGACAGGCCGGGCCACGGGAGGCCCGACCAGGGAGGTCGGCCCGCTGAGCGGCGGGGCCACACCCTCTCGCGGGGCAGTTCGGGGCCGGGGTGACAGGGGGCGGGTCCTGGGACCGGGGCGGACCCTGCCGGTTGCGGGCCCGACCGCGGCACACCCCGTCGGCTCCGGCACCGGCCGCCGGCCCGTCGTACGACCCCTGGCGGCGGTTTTGGCCGGCGGGCAGGGCGGCGGCCGGTGGCCGACTTGGCTCGCCGTACCAGTCCGGCGCCGGCGCCGGCGCCGCCGCCACCCTGTTTGTTTATGCACCGCACATTGATCATGCCGCGTGCCGCCCCGCAAGCGACGCGTCCAGGGACGGGTCGCTGCCTCCGCCGCGCTGCCTGGAGTGATGACGTGCTGGTCGACGCGACGGCAAGCTCCTGGTCAAACGTCTGTGCCATTGGTCGATGAAGTGATGCTCATCTGCCAAACTGGCATCCAAAGATTGCCGTGCATATTCTGGCATTCTCTTGGCTGTGCTGTCTTCGTTGGCACAAATATTGACGCACCCTTTAAACTCAATAACTAACGGCTGTCTAACGTTAGCAGGCATGCTTGCGGCAGCAGGCATGCTTGCGATTCAAATCGCAATTGAAGCCGCGTGCGCACGTCATGAATGCATGACGTCACGCCCGGTAGCCGCGATGGTATATTGCTGTCGGTCGAGGCGAACCCCCGCAGCGCGCCTCGAGCCATTGCGTGCGCGCGGCTCCCAGCTGGAGGTGTGAGGCGGGCCGGCGGACAAGCGACATCTCAGCTGAAGGGCGGGGGAGGGACAGCCGGACACCCCGTGTGAAGTAGGTCCAGCGGCCGGCGGTCCGCCGCCCAGCGGCCACCCGACCAGGGCGCCTGCCGTCTCGCCGACGCCAGAGCGCCGCCGGGCGAAAGAGCGCCGACTGGGCGCAGCGGGCGTGGTCGCGGAACGACCGCCGCGCGTCCGGCGCGTGATTGATGGCGTGGCGTGTCACTGGGCCGAGCGCCAATCAGTGCGAGGGGTGGTACGCGAGATCAGCGAGGAGGTGCCGAGACCGGTCGACTGCAATCAGTCAGCGCGTGACAAATGAACGGCGCGGATGAAGCCGCGATGCGTCGTCGCGATGCCGTCTGGCGCCGATCTTGTGTGCGCGTGTTTGATGTCGGTGCTGATGCCCTGGCCTGGTGAGCTGGTGACGAGTCATCCGGAAGTCATCCCGCCCCGGCGGGTCTTAGCCCACTGTGTCCCACCCGGACAGGTCGGCACACAGTGAGCCTGGATAGGGGTGGTGAACTGTGGGCCCTGCCCTAGCGGGTCCCGCCCTAATGAGTCCCTCCCTGGTGGGTCCCGCCGTGATGAGCCCCGCCCTGGTGGGTCCCGCCGTGATGAGCCCCGCCCTGATGGGTCCCATCGTGACGAGCCCTGACCTCATGGGTCCCGCCGTGATGAGCCCCGTCCTGATGGGTCCCGTCGTGATGAGCCCCGCCCTGGTGGGTCCCGCCGCGATGAGCCCCGCCCTGATGGGTCCCGCCGTGATGAGCCCCACCCTGATTGGTCCCGCCGTGATGAGCCCCGCCCTGATGGGTCCCATCGTGACGAGCCCTGACCTCATGGGTCCCGCCGTGATGAGCCCCATCCTGATGGGTCCCGCCGTGATGAGCCCCGCCCTGATGGGTCCCGCCTCGTCGGGTGGCACCCCTGCGGCCCGTCCCCAGCTGCCGTTGCCAGGCGGCTCCTGACCCGCGTGACTCACCGCCGCAGGACTATGAGCTGCCTCGCGGCGGCACGGACGGCTGGCACGACGGCCGATTTCTGTTCCGGGCGCGCGCCAACCACGGCCAGCTGGTGCCGCCCGGCCAGCTGGTGCGCGAGCATGAGTTCTTCGGCCAGCCGGCGCCAGGTACGGACCGTGGCGCCGACGGGGCGGCCGCGGGCGGCGCGGCGTTCGCGACGTGCGGTTCACGCCCCGAGGGAGGGGCATGAATGCGGCGCGCCTTCATTCAGAGAAAAGGCAGACGCCCAGAATGTTGCTGTGTTTAAAGTTAGCGAGATTTCGTGTTGGTTTCAATTGTCTTTAAAACAATTGTTGCGGCCATTTTCTTGTCAATGATTGTTATGATCTCTGCACCATAAAATGTTTCATTTTGTCTAAACTTCAGTGTGGGTTGTTCCTAGACTTGCTTGCCAATATTTTGTCCACCCCGAAAGGCCACATTTCATTATATTTTACATTCAGGAGCCCAGTCGTTCTTGTGTCCGTTCCCTTCCGGTGCCGAATCCCCAGTCCATGCAGCCCCGCGGACCGCCCGGTTCCGAATCCCCAGCCTGAGGTCATATCCCGTAGCCCGTGCAGCCCTCGCGGGCCACCCGGTTCCGAATCCCCCGGCCGGTACCGCCCCCGCCGGCCGCCGGACGCCAAGTTCGGCCCCTGCGCCTGCTCCAGACGTCTCGCACGCGGCCGGACGCCATTCATTTGTCTGGGTGTGGCCCGACCGCGACCGGGGGGAGGCGTGGCCAAGTCTGGCGGCGCGGCCGCGCTCATGGGGCCGGCCCGTGCCGCCGCCGCCGCCGCCTGGTACTCCAGCCGTGACCGTGCTGGGTAGGCATGCCGACGCTGGTGCCCTGCGGCCCAGGGTGGGGAGGGTTCTGCCAGGGATTCTCGTGTGTCGCTGCGTCGGAGGGACGTTGCCGGCGCTGGTGATGGCCGTCGTTCCCTCCGCGTCTGTGGTGATGTGACTGTTGCGTCACATGTTGACGTGCTGGTTCGTGACCGGTGGAGGCGACTGGAACACGTGTGAGGTGCGGTGCGGCGAGTTCGGGCGCCCATTGTGTGGCTGTGCGTCACTGTGTTCTTGAGTCGGGTCGTTGTCCCATTTGATGTGTGTTGCCGGTGCAGCTGATGTGAGGCGCTGGACTGATGCGGTCCCGTGCGTTCCCATCCTCGCCAAGATGGATAGTTCGTGACTGTGCCCATTGTGACCAGCCGATGAGCGTAACAACGCTTCGGACGTCTGCGCGGGATTTCGATAAAAGCTTCGGCCATGCGCACTGGGGTCATCACACCCCTCCCATCAACACCGCCTCGCCCACAGGAGACGGATCGGTCGGCGAGCCACCGCCGCCGCCGCCACCGCCGCCGCTGACCGCGCGTGAGCTCATCGAAGACGCGATGGCGCGCGTGGCGACGGAGCAGCGCGTGCTGCGGGCGCGCGCGCGCCAGCCGCAGCCGCCGCTCTTTGGCACCCCGCTCACCATGCTGGAGCCGCCGTGGCGAGTGGCCGCCGCCGCGGCTGCAGCGGCAGCAGCAGCCGGCGGCGGGAAGGTGGGGAGCTGAGTGGGGCGATCCGACGGTCGTCCTAATGATCGCTTGCGTTCCTGCATGTTTGCATGCTGTCCTGAGTTGCGTTTGGTTTGGCCAGGTGCTTGTCTTGGGAGGCGTCCTGTTGTGTGTGTGGGACACGCGCTAAGTTAAGGCGAATGCTGTTAAGTCTGACAGGTTCTTACGTGGGCAGGCAGGTTAGTGCGTCTTGCTTTTATCTAAGATGTCCAATATTGAGAGTTACTGAACTGGCCCTAGCTGCCGCCGTGGTCGGCTGGTGCTTGTTTATAGTGAAGAGGGGGAGGGGACTGGGGATGGCTTTCATACTTTTGCGATTAATGATATACGTGCCTGCTCCGTCTGATAAATGTGTGTTTCTTTTGCCAATGGATATGGATCGGCCAGGCAATAATGATCGCGAGTTTGTTATGAGACAGGCTGGGCCCGCTGTGAATCTCCGTGATGAACGATCGGTAAAATGTGATGAAGATCGCGGTCAATTTGTATCGGCATTCTGGCCCAGTGCCATTGACCCCAGGGTACCGCAACAAACAGCGTGGGGGATCGCAGTTGGAATAGTCCTCACACGTGGCAGCGCAGGATACGGTACGTGACGTTTAGCATTCCTGCGCGCCTGTCACGGATAGGAGATAGGTGTTAATGATGCGGTCGAAAGCCGCGTTTAGTTGGTATGACATCGTTGAGTGTCCTTTGGCGCATGTGTGACCTCCCGGTCACCTGTTAAATCCATGTCTTAGTCGACAAGTCAAATAGGCGGCGCGATAATTCGAACTAAAGAAGGGTCTCAAAGTGGAGTCGAGTGTGTAGCTGTGCGTTAATGACATTTACAGTTTGTATACGCCGTTCAGAAACGGAAGTAGGGTGAACTCATGGCGCCGATTGCTAACCTGGGCTCGGATTGGCTCAATCTGGTCCAGATTTTCTAAAATTGTCGCTTCGAGTCAAATGAGAACGATTCGTGGTGTACTTACCCGCGTATATTTTGTGTATTGGTCCCTCTAGGTGTTCCGTGAATTTCTGGTTATTTGTCGCAGTAAGAACCCAGTAATTATGGCAAATTCACCGTGTAGCGTGCACGAAAACTTTGATCATTGGCAATCCTTGGGAGTTTGGCTTCTCTTGGCAAAAACTTGCAATGCATCGGCTCAAGGCCGTTGGCCAATATTTCGTGTGGTGCCGGGCTCATCGCAATTGGCTTGAAAGAATTCGATTCACAGCTCTGTGAAAAACAGGCCTTCAACACGTGAACCGTACGGGCTGGTAGGAAAAGCACGCCGTGGAGCAGCTGTGCTACCGACGTACTGCGGTGGGGCTGGGCGCGAGAGGCCTACCGGGCGTCCATCGTCATTGGTACTTCACGACGCACTCAGCTGCTGAGGTTTTATGGCGTCGCCTGCCGCTTGCCTTGGCAGGAAGCGTGGGCACCACTGGGAATCGAAACCCTTAGCTCTGATTTCCCAGACGCGCAGTGGCTAACGCTGACGCGGTAGCCACCACAGTATTGCCACACTATCGGCACTACCGAGAGTCCATGTTGTTATTTGTAGAAAAGGATTGCTGCCAAGAGACGACCGTGTCTTACCTCAGCAGAACATACAGCTGCGCACAGTCATCGAATGCACCATTGAGTTAAGCGCATTTACGAGGTGGAGTGTAAGGGTTCATTATGCAGCGCATAGTATATGAAGTGCTGTGTACGGATGACTTTTTTCTCACCAGACTGAGCCTGATAGAGAGCAACTGAGTTGACAGTGGGAGTCAGCACCACGGAATGGTCCAGGACCGCTCAATAAAATATCTGAACGATAGTTACGGTTACACAGTGTATTCACTGCAATCAAATGCCATCTTTCCGCTCCGAAATTTTGTCTTGGCCTCACTTCCGCATTTGTGGCAGACGCAATAGTAACCAGGATGATCAAGGTCATTGGTAGGTCAGTAGTGCCGAGATGCGACGGAAACTCAATGTAAACGGGGCTTTCCGTCGTCGTGCCATCGGTTTTGACGCCCATGCCCCCTCCATCCCGTCCTTTCGCGCCACAGCCATACCCCCTCCCCCCCCCCCTCCCACGCCTTTTGCATGCATCATCTGCCCGCGTGGGACGATGCCGTCCGACTGGAGTCGCGGCGTGTGACCTCACCCGTCTGACTCGTGTACCTCTGACTTCATCTGACCCCATCCCTCCCGCTGGTCAGGGCCGCGCCCCGCCCGCCCCCACGGCGTTCATAGGAGTGCCAGTGCCGCCCTCACGACGTTCAAAGGAGTGCCAGTGCCGCCCTTACGGCGTTCGTAGGAGTGCCAGTGCCGCCCTCACGACGTTCGTAGCAGTGCCAGTGCCGCCCTTACGGCGTTCGTAGGAGTGCCAGTGCCACCGCGCCGGCTAGCGGCCGCGAGATCCCATTCTCGCGGCGTACTCCGTAGTGTAGCGGCCTGCTGTCTGCTGCTGATCTGTGCGTGCACGCCGGTCCGGAACCGGACCGGTGCGCGAGGATTAGCGTTGCGTGCTGTGGTGCGTCTTATTAACGGGATTGAGCCTCTTGAACGCATGCCGTGACAAACCCGCGTAGCGTGTGTTCTCACTAGGCTCGGACCGTGTGTTCTCACTGGCTGTCTGTGGCAATAGGGCACGCGCCGTTTGTGTTCAGTAACGCCCCCAACACTAAGAATGCACGAGCTCTGCGTTCTCCGTGACGTTCGCCGCGACAAGAGCGCATGTGTCGCGGCCGGGACCGTCCAGCCTGCCGTGTATTCTCATTAACAGACGCCGTGCTGTGCTGTGTCACTAACTAACGGCGCTGTGCCTCGCCACAGAGCGGCGCCGGCCGCCAGCCGCCGGCGCGCCGTCTGGTGGTGACCTGAAGCAGCTGACTGCCGGGTGAGTGGTCTGGGGCGGTCTCGTCGGGGGTGCGGGAGGTCGTCCCGCCGCACGCGCCTGCGTGGAGGGAGGGGCGGGGGTTGTGTCTGCGCATGGAGACGCGCGCGGTGGGCGGGCCGGGTGTCGCCGCGGTGTGGCAGTGGATCGGTGCCTGCGTGTGGGGCAGGCCGGCGTCAGCATCGGCAGGTGTCGTCGGCTGGGACAGCAGTCTGACGTCACCGCTCCTCGTCACCGCCGGGGTGCAGGACTCGAGCTCTTGTGGCCTGCTCTCCACTCCCCCCTCCCCCTCCGCGGAGACGGCTCGCGACCCCATTCCGCAGCCCGTCCGCGGCACGGCTGTCCCTCACGCCCCCGCCCTCGCCCTCCGCCGCCCACAAGTGTCCGCCGCGCGTATGTCGGTGTGCGAGGACCGACGCGGCGTGCGCCGGCCTCGACGCCGTCGACACTGGCTCGCCGGGCTGGCCTACCGGCGCTGCCAGACGGCAGCCACGCTGCGGGCGTCGGCGGCGGGCGGTGCTGGGCCGATGGGTGCCGCCCGGGACACGCCCTGGTCATGTGTAGGGCAAAGGTAACGTGCCAGTGCGCCGCGGGGCTCAAGACTACGTCTTTGGCAGAGTGCGGTGTGGTTCGGGCGTTTGTCGGCGCGTTAGAGGCCTGGTAACTTCGTTGACCAGGGTTTATTGTTCGGTGTGAGACGCGTGAAGGCCCTCCTAGGCCGGCTTGGTTGTTCTAGGGTCTTGGCACTAGGTGGGAACGATGAGTTTTCTGGACCACCTGCAGTACTGAAATTAAAAGCTGATTTTGCACCGGTACTTAATCAGCATCTTTTGTTATCTTAATAATGTGTTTTGCCTTTGCCTTCTTGGCTGAGCGCTGCAGCTTGATTGTAGCACTTGGCAATCATCTGGGCCATAAGCCCGCACCATATGCAGTTCCGACCCGGCAAGCATGTAACAAACCAACAACAGCTGGGAAGACTCACCCAGTTGGATATGGGGACTAGCGCAGCATTGCAGCATGGACCGAAAATGGCCACTACGAAATTAGCAAGGGATGAAATACTACGCATGGTGTATTTGATGGCATATTACAATGTTTTGTTGGTGGTGGCAGCGATCAGGTTGCATGCCCTAAGCTCTACTAAGAGAGCCTTCTGCGACCAATACCGTCCTTGTAGAGTTACGTCGGAACAACTGTCTGGTCTATTTGGCAATTTTTGAGGCCTATGCATGTGATGCGTGATGCAACTGTAGATTATTTAAGTCGCCAAACCGTTCGAGCCGGAGTGGTCACCAGTGGTCAGTGTGGTCGGGTCTCGCACGTTGGTCGGCTCGGCGACGTCACAGGGTTCTCCACCGCCTCACTCCTCTCGTGGCCTTGTCTCGTGCTGTCGTCCCGCTCCTCTGGCGTCGGTCGCCTCCTGCCTCTCTGCTCTCGTAGCCTTATCCCGTCTCGTGCGCTCGTCCCGCTCCTCTGGCGTCGGTCGCCTCCTGCCTCTCTGCTCTCGTAGCCTTATCCCGTCTCGTGCGCTCGTCCCGCTCCTCTGGCGTTGGTCGCCTCTTGCCTCTCTGCTCTCGTAGCCTTATCCTGTCTCGTGCTCTCGCGCGCTCTTCTGGCGCCGGTCGCCGCCCCGCGTCTCCGCCTACCGCGCTTCCGTGCTGGCCCTGCGTGTGCGCGCCTGGCGTCGGCGGCCCGCGCTGGGGGGTCTGGTAAACAGGGCGGGGCGGCGCGCGCCGCACGACGCGCTGTGTCAGGCTCAGCGTGACGCCCCGCCCATGCTGTGCGGTCCAGTCGGACGCGTGCTGTGCCGTGTGATTCGTGGAATGAGCATTTTGTGCTGTGTGACTCATTGTGACGAGCGGCGTGTACTGCGTGACTCATTGTGACGAGCGGCGTGTGCCGCGTGACTCATTGTGACGAGCGGCGTGTGCTGCGTGACTCATTGTGACGAGCGGCGTGTGCTGCGTGGCTCATGCATGCTGTGTTACCCAACTGGACGCGCTGGTTGGGGGTTCGATTCAGACCGAGGCGGTGTTGGTGCTGTGTGACTCAGAGGGACCTGCTGACGTGCTGTTTGTTTTGTGGTACTCGTTGGACGGGTGTTTGGGCTGTGTTACTCAGCGGAACACGCTCTTCCTGTCGGTTGTCCCAGCTGGGCGGTCGCGAGAGATGCGCCGCCTGACTCAATGGGAGGTACCCCGCCTCACGGAGCGAGGAGGAGAAGGGAGGGGAGCAATGCGACGACTGAAGCGCCGCCCGCTGTGGGACTGTAGAGAGGACCGGGTGCCCCCTTCACAGCGGGGGGGGGGGGCGGTGGAGGGTCAATCATCGGAGCCCCGCCACTCGACGGTGAGAACACGGACCGACGTACCCGACGGTGACAGCAGGAGGCGCCTGTGACGTGTCCAGACCGGCCTGGCGTGGACTCTGGACTGGAGTGGAAACACGCCCCTATTTCTGGGTTTGATCCGGATGGTGATGGCTTCTCTCACGTTCACCGCCAGGCATTTCTGTATGGATAATTTTCTTCCCTCGACGATCCGACTTACTACCACCAGCTTCAGCGTGTATATTTGCTGCTTGTCGCTACGGCAGAGGTGTTGGTAAGGGCAAAATACGCACACTGCTGCTCGCAGGCGGTATGTGATGTGCTGGCCAAGGTACAGGTACACCAAACCTCTCTACTTGGAGTGTTGCTGTGATCTTATGCCTGGTTTAGTCCACAGCTGGGCTAAATCACAACACCGGCTCTTTCCTCTTTTCTTCCCGCGAACTAGTTGGTACGCAGCTTCAATGAACGTATGTGGAGCTCCTGCAAAGTGCAGTGTTGTCTGTGGACAACACTTTGACGATTGCTTTTAACTCACCATTTCGTAGTGTTGATGCTCAGCGTGAATTGGATTCCCACATTGGCTCGGAGATCATTGCGAAACATTCTAGGAGAGAGTGGTTAATTCTGGTTAAGCTTGAGGCAGAAAACTCGCAGTGTCATGGTTGTCAAGTAGCCTACATACACCGCTACAAGCGCATGTTGTTATCGCTGGCACACACAGCTTAATGAATTAGCTTGTTCTGCGTGAACCGTACAAAGTGGTGCACAAGATGGCGTGAGAACGCGAGCTCATCGAAGCTTGGGATAGGAAGTCGGGAGCGCGTCTTAGCTCATTTTTATCGTGCAACGCGTAACTTCTTCGTCGCTAGGTTTTTCTAATGTTATTGAGGGCTAATCCTAGGTTATTTTCCATGGTCGGGACCGTGGGCTCTCCGCCTCCTTCAGATCCCGCGCCATTGTAGTGGTGTGCTGGCTACTGGCGTGAATACTTAAGTTACCAAACAACCGACGGACAAACTCCGCAACTTGCGAGCCTTGCCAGACTCCGATCAGACGATGGCGGCTCGTGCCTCCATGCATAGTCAGCCCTCGATGTTCCGGCGGCCCTGCGCCCAGCCCGCTCTGCCCCGACCCCGCCGCGCTGACGCCGCCAGCCGGCGCGCGCCGGCCTCGAGCGCCCGCCGCCGCGCCGCGGCGGCCGGTCAGCGCTCGAAGAGGCAGTTCTCCGGCACGTTGGTGCCGCGGTTGGTCTCGACCTCGAGCTCGCGGCCGTCGCCGACCGCCGCCTGCAGCCGGTCGTCGATCTCGTCCACGTCGGCGTACACGTGGCGCGCGAGGAAGCCGGCCACGTCGAGCAGCGCGGAGCCCGTGTCCAGCGCGCGGCAGTCCTTTTCCGGCACGTGGTGGTAGTGCATGCTGGCGGCGTCGGCGACCGCGTACTGCAGCACGATGTCGTGGTCGCGCTGCAGTTCGCGCAGCTCCTTGCGCAGCGGGTCGCCGGCGCCGCCGACCGCCAGCTGCGCGAACTGCTCGGGCAGGTCGCGCGGCCCGAACAGGTTGGCCAGCCGGTACGGGGAGAGCGGCTCGACGAGGCCGCAGTCGCTGAAGACGACGGCGTCGAGGTGCTCGTCGCGCCAGTCGTCCTCCCAGTGGCGCACGCCGGCCACCAGGTTGGCCACGGCCGCCTCGTCTTCGTCGTAGTCGTCGGTGAGCCGAGGCAGCGGGCGCCGGTAGTACTGGCAGCGGTGCTGCTCGCGGTCGAGGTACACGCCGCCGGCGCCGTCCTCCGAGACGGCCAGCGCGCAGAACACGTCGGCCTTAAGCTGCCGGCCGCCGCCCGACGCCATGGCCCAGGAGCAGCAGGTGCTCGGCTGGCTGCGGGGAGGGCGGGGAGGTGTGACGCGGCGGTGGGAGGCAGCGCGCGGTCCACGGGCTGTCGCGCTGAGGTTCACCGAGTACGCCTCTGAGGCGGTTCGTGGCAGGGTTACGGGGTCCTGGCACTCCGGGCGTCATGGCATGCCATGTTAACCAGGTGTTGAAAGCAGGTGACGCATAAGCTCGTGTTCGAGCACCTGGACATGAAGCATTTCTGTGGAAGCAGACGTGACTGTAAGTTGAATAATTTGGGAGGTGCCCCGGTTCCCACTGCAAACGGTGTCAACATCGAAACCGCGCTACCAGAGCCGACCGTAGTGGCCGACTCACTTTCCCAGTGTTGCGCTGTCGGCGGCCGTCGGCTCTCAGCCGGAGCTGACGCAGGCGGAGCTGCTGGGTTCCGGGGCTGACCTCGGTGCTGCCGAGCGCTGGGGCTGACCTCGGCACCGAGCGCTTTAGCTGGGCGGCTCCGATCAGCGGTCCGGAGCTGGAGCTGACCGCCCTGGCTCCGCCGATCGCTGCCCGACCCCTTGGCGCCGGGACTGGCCGTCTGAACTGTGCTGGTCGCGGCAGCCGGCCTCTGGTGGCGATCTGGGTCTGGCAGCCGGCCTCTGGTGGCGATTTGGGCCTGGCAGCCGACCTCTGGTAGTGGTCTGGGTCTGGCAGCCGGCTTCCGGTCGCGGTCTGGACCTGGCAGCCGGCTTCTGGTGGCGATCTGGGTCTGGCAGCCGATCTCTGGTAGCGGTCTGGGTCTGGCAGCCGGCTTATGGTGGCGGTCCGGGCCTGGCAGCCGGCCTCTGGTAGCGGTCTGGGTCTGGCAGCCGGCCTCTGGTGGCGGTCTGGGTCTGGCAGCCGGCCTCTAGTGGCGATCTGGGCCTGGTAGCCGGCCTCTGGTGGCGGCTTGGGTCTGGCAGCCGGCCTCTGGTGGCGGTCTGGGTGTGGCCGGCTGGTTGTGTCGCGCGCCGGACCAGCACTGACCGCTGCTGTGGCCGGCCGCTGGCAGACGACTGGCCGACGCAGCACGGCGCCGAGCGTGGGCGCGGACCGGCGTACCTGACACAACAGCGCCACTCAGCCGCCGACCTGTAAACAGCCATCAGGCCGTCACTCAGCCCTGCGCCCGGCCTGAGTCACGAGCGTGTCACCCGGGCGGCGTGCGCGGCCCCGGCGGACGTGACACGGCCTGTCTGTGATCGGGGCGTGGACGTGAAAACGCGCCGCCGGCCGGTGCTGGCTGTGGGGCCACCTCCGCCGCCACAGCACCCGCCTCTCGCCGCCGGCCGGTGCTGGTTGTGGGACCACCTCCGCCGCCGCAGCACCCGCCTCCTGCCGCTGGCCGGCGCTGGCTGTCGGGCCACCTCCGCCGCTACAGCACCCGCCTCTCGCCGCCGGGAGCCAAACGGGAGCCGAGGGGAGCCGCCCCTCATTCTGGCGAGAGTTCAACGGGAAGTGTGTGGCGGCGATTGTAAACTGAATTCGAGAAGGGGTCCTTATTTCTGGGCTCGTGAGGGTGTTGGCGTGGCGGTTGCCCGATAGTCTGTGGGCTTACCGCCATGCCGTGGCGGTGCGTCTCGAAGACCCGGGATGGTTCGCTGGTTTGTAGGATCATTCACTGCGTCTTATTTTTAGCTCAGATCGAAGGCGGGCGCGGTGTTGGTTTCAGACGGTGGTTGTTGTGAAGTTTCCGTTGATCATGACTGCATACCCGCGTGCGCGGAACACCTGTCATGTTCTTCGCCCCGGCCAGTCGCGGCAAGTGAACCAGGTTCTGATCAATTTATTTCGGAATATCTCAACTACGCAATGCTAGCAACTGTTCCCGGTGCTGTGTGCTAGTTCTGTCTACACATGTGACGCCGTCGGCCGATATGGCTCTACCATTTAAATCGGTCATGTCTGTGTTACGTCATCCACGACATTGACTGGAAGAACCGAATCTCCTCGACTCGGAGGCGAGCTGGGGCGTCTTGGCTCCCAGGTTCTCAGGCCTCAGGCGCCGGCCTGCAGGTCCTAAGATTCTCAGGCCTTCGGCCTTGACCTGCAGGTCCTCAGGGCTTGGCCGGCAGAACCTCAAGTCCTCAGGCCTGGTCCCCCAGGTCCTCCGGTCCTCAGGCCTCGTCCCGCAGGTGGTCCGGTCCTCAGGTCTCAGGCCTTGGCCCGCAGGTCCTAAGGTTCCCAGGCCCCAGGCCTGGGCTCGCAGGTCCTCTGGTCCTCAGGCCTCAGGCCCTGGTCCACAGGTCCTCAGGCCTCGCCCACAGGTCCCCGGTCCATGTTCGGCCGGAGGTGCAAGTCAGCCCTCGAGGCGGCACTTGCGGGGGATCGGCTTTCACCACAGCTTTCGTCACTCGGCCGCGCCGTCGGCAAATGTTAGTGCGAGCGGCGCACTGGGCACCGACGGCTGGCGCCGAGCCCGCATACCTGGGGCCGAGAGGGTCCGGGGGCGGGCGGGGAGGGGACAGCTCAGCTGATCGACGGGCAGAGGCGGGCTCATCAGCGCAGGGTTAGTTGATCAGGACAGCTGAGCTGATCAGGGCAGGGCAGCTGATTACGATGCTGTCAGCTGACCAGGGCAGGGTCAGCTGGTCAGGCCAGGCAGAGTCCGCTGACCAGGGCGGGGTCGGTTGACCAGTGCACGGGCCGGGGGATGGTGGCAGGGTGGGCTGGAGCCGCGGACGATAATCTGCTGGTTATTAGGTGGTCGGGACGGCTTCTAGGGCCGACAGACAGGTCAGTCGTCAGCTGATATTCCGGCTCCGAACGGCGGTCAGCTGTTGGCTGCCCTGTGCCACCACGCCGGAGATGTTGGCTGCCCTGTGCCACCACGCCGGAGATGTTGGCTGCCCTGTGCCACCACGCCGGAGATATGGGCTGCCCTGTGCTATCGCGCCCGAGGTGTGGGCTGCCTTGTTCCATCGCGCCCGAGATGTGGGCTGCCCTGTGCCATCGCGCCCGAGGTGTGGGCTGCCCTGTGCCATCTCTCCCGAGGCATGGGCTGCCCTGTGCCATCGCGCCTGAGGTGTGGGATGCCCTGTGCCATCACGCTCGAGGTGTGATTTGGCCGAACAGCGCTCTGCCGTCCAGTGGCGGACGGGCACGCTGGTCATATGTTGACTGGACGGCACTGGGCCAGTCAGCTGAATTGAGGTGGGGATCGCCCGGCTTCTCTGGACTGGAGCTGGGCGGCGGCTGGCTGCGGCTATTCCAGGCCTTGCGATCGTGTGGATTGCTGGCCCGCGGGCCACAGGGGCCAAAGAAGACATCCTGTTCCGACATGGGCAACTGACGGCGGGGAGGCGTGGCTCTTAGCCGTCTCGTCGGTCGGGACGGCGCGGCGCGCCGACTGCTTTCATTGGCTCATTTGCCGTCATCAAACGGCGCGGCGCCGATCCCAACCAAGCCAAACAAACCATCAGAGGAGTGAATTTCGGCGGCGTCGCCTGTTCGCGGCCGCGACCGGCCGGTGCCCTCGCCCCGTCCCCCTTCCGCCGCTCGCCGGGCGACGGTAAGCGTCACACACGCGCGCCTGTTTTCGACGGCATGGCGATCAAAGCGGCGCACCGGATCGGGTGCGGCGGGCGGCGCGTGTGACGGCGCCGCCTGACTCACGCCGCCACGGACAGCCGTCACACCTGTCACGGCCGTCACAACCGTCACGGCTGCTACACACCTGCGCCTGTCACGGCAGATTCGGCGGCGCCGAGCTCGCCGCCGCCGGTCGTCCGAGCCGCGACGGAATAAAGGCTTCGTTTCCTTTTTTGCTGATCGAGTGAAGGCGCTGCCTGTTCTGTGACTGATGGGGCTTCGCCTTTTTCAGTTGTACTCAGAACAGGCTAACTGTTCAGTCGCTAATCAAGTGCAGACGTGTTGGCCAACTGTGGCGCGTGCTGGGCTGGGTTCAGCGGACGCTCACGGTCTGTCTCTGCGCTCAGTTTCCACGCTCTGCCTTCGCTCTGTCTCTGCTCTCTGTCTCCATACTTTGTCTCTGTGCTTTGTCTCTGCGCTCTGTCTTCGCTCTGTCTCTATACTTTGTCTCTGCGCTCTGTCCTCTGCGCTCCGTCCCTGCAACGCTCTCTCCGGGCTTGTTCTCTGCGCGCTCTGTCTCCTGCGCTCTGAACCTGCGCTCGCTCTCTGTCGCTCTAACGGTCTCTTGTGACCTTCGTTCGGCTGGTCGACCTCGGACGGAGAAGGCATGGCTCGTCGCCGCTAATTCCGCCCGGAGCCGGGCGCGGCCGGTCTCCCACCGGCCGCCTGGCGCGTGTCTGCCGGACATTGACCAGTAGCCTGGCGGCCCCGCTTGACAACTGGCCGACCGCCCGCCCCTGGGGGGGGGGGGGGGGGGGGGGGGGGGGAGGGGCGGCACGAACGCCGGAGGACGTGCGGGCCGTGGCCGTAACAGCGCTTGCGGGGTGCTGCTGTCAGTGTCGGTGCGTGACCTGTGTGCAAGGTCGCCTTGAAAGGCAGCGTAGTTGTGGTTTTCACACAAAATGGTTGTTTTTTAGCAAATGAAGCCGGTGTGAAAGAGATTTGCGTGCCGGTTTGTTGGCTTCCGAGGCATTGCATTTTGTTCTCCGCAACGTTTGGTTGGTGTTGAGGATGCCGGTAGTGTAATGGTTCACGCGTCTGGGTTAACCACTGCGTGTCTGGGAAACCGGAGGCACGGGGTTCGATTACCCGCGGTGCCCGCCCTGCCTGTCAGGGTGAGAGGCAGGCGACGCCATATAGCTTCAGCAGCTGAGTGCGTCGTGAAACCCCAGTGACACGCGGTTGGTGTTGATGTTCTTGCGGAATGTGTGGCGAAATTATGACACCATTGATGAGTGTAGGAGTCGCGAATTAGGTCATACACCATTGCCGAATGCTGAAGTCCGAGTACTTATTATTACAATGGCAAACCTGTTCGGAAGACATCTGTTTCCTTTTCAGGGTTTTGTTTAACTTCATCCTCGCTGTCAGATTGGTAGGCGTCAACAAATTCAACAGCTCAGCAAATACCTCCTCAGTGCCTGTGCCTCGCCGCACTTCATTAATCTGTCGCTAGATGGCAGCGCTGAGGCGCCCTGGCCGGCGCCAGTCTTTTTTGCGGCGGCGCCCGCTTTGTGCGGCCGGCGCTGACGTCTCCGGTTTTGACGCGTCCCGTCTGTTTATGCCGCCGGCCGGGAGGACGCGTCGGGGCGGCAGTCACCCCGTGTGAATCAGAAGGGCGGGGTCTGATGGGGCGGAGCTGACCGCAGTCGGCACCGCGTGGGTCGCGGCCGCGCCTCCGCGGCCTCCGCAACCGGCCAGCAGGCGCAGGCGTGGGAGCCGATGCGCGGAGGGAAGGTCGCCGCGCGGGATTTGCCGCGTGAGACGGCGGCGGTGTGCGTGGAGCTAGCTAGCGACGGACCAGCGACAGACTAGCGACAGAGCGAACCGTGGTGAGTCATGTGAAAAGGAGGACAAGGTCGTGCGCCGCGCAGGGTCACGGTGTGCAGATCGACGAAAGGGCGTGTGCTGAGCCGTTCTGACCGGTCGGGTAGCGTTGCTGTTCGCGTAGCCAACCCAAGAGTGAAATGTTCGTTCGTCCGGCCCTTCGGCTGACCCAAGGTCACACTCCACATCTGGGGTCTCAACAGATGCCGAACCCAGGTCCCACCGTAGGTCCCAGCTGTAATCTCGCTCGGGGTCCCGCCGGAGGTGCCGCAACGCAAATCCTCGGGCCGGAAATCGCAGATCGGGTCGGTGGCGCCACCGTCCGTTGACCTGCCGCGCCCGGCGGGTGGCCGCCGGTCGCCCGCCGCCGCCGCCCGCTGGAGCCCTTCCAACCGAAACACGGCCGTCGACGACCGAAATAACGTCGCGCCGGCGGCGACGGACGCGTCGGCGCCGCTGCGTGCCGGCCGGCGCCGCCACTGACCCCTGACCTGATCGGCGGTGCGCCGGGGCCGCCGGAGCCGTTGGCGTTGTGCGGTGCGGAGGTGCGGTGGGCGCGGTGGCGGGCGGCGAGTGCTCGGGTGGCAGTTGGCGGCGGTGTGGCGTGGCGTTGCTCGCGACGCTGCGGTCGCGGTGTTTGCCTGCACGGATGTGCTGGACGGTGTCCGGTGTGGGGGTGGCGTGGCATTTGTTGTTCGTCGCTCAGTGCCAGCACACGTTGACTCGGCGCTCGTGACGGCGGAGGTGTGGCCGTGTCCGTGCGGTGACGACCCGTCCTTGACCGGCGGCCTGCCCTTCCAGGGTGATGACGCAGCAGCGGCCGGCAAGCGTGACGCCAAGTCCCCGGCGCGCACCCCGCGCCTGAGGAGTCCGCGCACGGCGCCGAAGACGGCCACCTTGCCAGCGGGCAGGCTGGCGGCGCCGGCCGGGGAGCCGGGCCGCCAGCCGGCCGTGGAGCCGCACTCCCAGCGTGGCCTGCTCTCGCTGCTGCGCCTGTTCCGACGGCGGCGTTCGCTGTCAGCCGAGCGGCGGCGCACGCTGACCAGCTCGCCGCCGCCGACGCGGCCGGCGCGCGCCACCAGCGAGGACCGCGGCCTTGCGTACCGGCCGCGCAAGCGCGCCGCGCCGCCGCCACCGGCCGCGCAACCGTGGCGACCAGCCCGCACGCTCACAGCGCAGCGACACGTGGTCACTGACCACGTGCGCCACGTGCGTGGCAAGCGGCGTGCGCCGGCGCCGCCGGCGGCGGCCGGCCAGTACAGCAGCCTGCAGGCGCCGGCGCCGGCGCGCGCCGAGCCATCGCCGCCGGCGGCGCGCAGCCTGGGTCGGCCATCCAGCCGGCAGACGGACACGCTAGTGCTGGAGGGCGGCGTGCTGCGGCCGCGCCCGCGCGACTCCGACGCGGAGCAGGAGGCGACGCCGACGCCGACGCCGCGCGCTGGCACGCTGGCGCGGCTGACGGCCGTCGCCGGGCCGCGGCTCTGGTACAAGCGCAAGAAGCCGGAGGAGGCGCGGCCGGCGGAGGCGCGCGGCCGGCGCGAGCGGCGCGGCCGCGGCTCGAGTGCCGCGGAGCCGGACGGGGAGCTGGACTGGCTGGCCGACATGGTGTACGCGCGCCGCAGCGCCGCGCCGCCCGACGGCACCGTCGAGCGACGCCTGCAGGTGCTGCGCCACCTGGCGGACCAGGAGGAGCGCGCCGGGCCGCCGCCGCCGCCCCCGCCGCCTGAGGCGCAGCCGCAGCCACAGCCGCAGCCGCAGCCGCAGCCGCAGCCGCCGCTGCCGGCGAAGAACCGTAGTCCGCTGCGCAGCCTATTCGGCCGCGATCGCTCGCCGCGCCAGGGCGCCGGCGCGGCGACGCAGTGGCCGCGCTTCTCCATGCTGAGCATCAGCGCACTGGACCGCGAGGCGGCGCGCCTGATCGGGGACCGCGCGGACCAGGCAGCCACGCTGCCGTCGCACTCGCAGCTGAGCGGGGCGCCGGCGGCGGAGTCGCCGCCCGCCGCGCGCTCGCACGCCCAGGCGGAGCAGGAGAAACGCGACACGTGCCAGACTATTGCACTGCTCGTGCGCGAGAAGTTCGAGGAGGGGAGAGAGACGGAGAGAACGAGGGGCGTGGATGGAGTGAAGGAGGCGGCTGTGGAGAGGGGGGAAGAGAAGAAAAGCGAGGCCAGAGTAGGTGGAAGCTGCGGCTCGCAGGGAGTTGAAGAGCTGGGGGATGGGGAGCAGGATTCTGGGACGTTGGTTGCTAGCTCCCGTGAGGCGTCCAAAAGCAAAGGCAGTGGCGATCCTCCTGAAAGCTGTACACGAGAAGAGGCTGGCAGGAAAGCAATCAACGCATCTCAGCAGATCCGTCCAGAGAAAAAAGCAACCCGGAAGTCCAGCTATCCTGCCGACAGAAATCCATTCGCTGAGGAGGAAACAGCGGGCGCGAATCCGTTTGAGGAGGCCGAAACTGCCTCGCCACCAAAGCGCGGCGAGTACGACAATGTCATGAGGGAGTCGAAGGCCTCTAATCCGTTTGACGACGATTATCCTGACGCGATGAATCCGTTTTGTGACGAAGCTGAGCCCCGTTCCGATTGCGAAACAGACCGAGTGGCCCCTTGTGACGGCGATTTACCGGCTCTGCGGGGCGGGGAGGACGGGGAGCGAACGCTGCACAGGCAGGAGGGCGGGACGCAGGCTCTGCGCGAGGAAGAAGACGGGGAGCGAACTCTTCGCAGGGAGAGCAGGATGGAGCGGGCGGGCGCTGTAGCTGCGTTGGAAGATCCAGCTCTTTCTGAAGACCAAGAAGAGTCGACATCTGACGACGGAAGCAGTCCCAACGAGATTTCCCCCGGGCTTCGTCGGCGCGCCTCTCCCGAGGCGGCGCTACCAGCCAATGGCACGGCGGCGGAGGCTCACTCTGCCGCTAGGGGGCGGCCGGCGCCGGCCCAGCGGGACGGGGACATCCCCACTCTGGTGCGCGACCTCAACCAATTCCTCGATACCACTCTGGAGACGCTGAGCTCGCCCAGCGCGCGGCGGCGGCAGGCGGCGCGCGCCCAGCCCGCCGCCGGCGCCGCCTGGCCCTGCCCGCGCTGCACGCTGCTCAACCGCGCGCCGCTCTCGGCGTGCGAGGCTTGCGGCGCGCGGAGGCCCGAAGCGCCCGATTGGAGCGTTGAGCTGCAGCGCTACTTCGGCGACGGCCCGGCGGCGGCGCCCACGGCACCGGCAGCACCGGGCCCGCCGCGGCCCAGCCCGCGCAAGGAGAGCCTCGGGGTGGTGCAGGGCGGCGTGGCGCGGCGCATGATGGCGTACCACGCGTTGGCCGCGTCGGGCACACGCTCGCTCAGCCGGGAGGGTGCCGCGCCGCGCCGGCCGCCGCCGCTGCGTCGCGGCGACCACCGCAGTCTCGAGCTGGGCGACGAGGTGCTGCGCGGCTGGGAGGGCGACGGGCCGCCCGGGTGGGCGGCGCTCGCAGCGGCCGCGGACGAGCAGGAGGCGGTGCTGAGAGCTGAGCTGGACGGACGGGGAGAGCAGCAGCGGCGGCAGGAGAGCGCTGCGGCAGGGGCGATGGCGCAGAATGGCGCCGCGCGAGGGTCGCGGCAGCAGGGTGTCGTCACGGAGCGGATGGCAGCCGGTGATCGGAGGCAGGCGTTCCGGGAGTCGCGCGAGCCTGCCGAGCGCGGGGCCGCGCCGCCGGCTGTCCCGGGTCAGAGGGTGGCCTCCTCGGAGCCGCGCGACGCCCGAAAGTGGCGGGTGGACGAGCCCGGAGCGCGCGTCGAGGCGCAGCCGACCCCGGAGCCGGCCGTCAGGAAGCGGCCCGTCCTGCCGTCGACGTTCGTGGCGCAGCTGCTGCAGAAGGAGGCGGCGCCGCCGCGGCAAGCCGCCGCGCCAGGCGACGCTCCCGACGTGGACGAGGTACGCCGCGCCCGACTGGCGTTCTTCGCGCAGCGTCAGTCGTCGCGCGGCGCGGAGGAGGCGGCCGCGCGCGCCGCCAGCCCGGCGCGCCGCTCTAGCTCGGGCTCAACCTCGCCGGACCGAACCGACGGCGACGAGGCCGACGATGAGTCGGAGTCGGACTCGTCGTCGTCCGCGCCGCCCGCGCCGGCACCGGTGCCGCGCTCGCCACCGACGGCGCGTGCCACCGAACCGCCGCCGCTGCCGGCCATCAAGGAGGCCTCGCCGTCCGAGTACCTGGAGGAGCGGCGCGGCCCGGCGCCGGCGTCGACGCCGCCCGAGCACGAGTACGAGGACGTGGAGGTGGCGGCGCGGCCGTGGCGCCTCTCGCCGGCGGAGAAGGCGCGCCGGCGACCCGCCGCCGGCCGGCCGCAGTGGCGCGGCGACGCGCTCCTGGTGCCGGACGGTCGCGGCGGCCGCGTGCGCTGCGTGGTGGAGCGCGAGCCGGCGGCGCCGCAGTTCGTCATCCGTGACGGCGTGCTCTACAGCCAGCTGCCGACGCCGGCGGCCGTGGAGGAGCGCGCGCATAAACCGCAGGGCGCCGAAGAGGAGGAGGAGGAGGACGCGGTGTCCGCGCCACCGCCGGACGGCGCCACTTGCAACGGGTTTGCGCCGCCAGGCGGCGGCGGCGGCGGCGGCGCTGGCGCCTCCCGACCGATTCCAGTCCCAGCTGGAGGCTGACCAAGGTTAGTCGGGCGGATTTAGGGCGGGTATATTTAACTGGGGCGCGCCGGCGGCGGCGCGGCGGCGCGGCGGCGGCCGACGTTACGTGCGCTGGCGGCCTGGGACGGCGCGCCACCATCGGCCTTACGGCGCCGCTAAACGTCGCGACATCAGTGATAGATTACCGCGTCGGTGGAGTGCAGAGTGGGTGATTACTGCGCGCGGTGGTGGCGCGTGCCGGCTGTGTGGGTTCTGGCTGTGGCTGGCGGCGGCCCGGTGGACCACGCTGCTGGCGGCGGACCTCGCGCAGGTGGCCGTGGTCAGCATGTCGAACGGACGCGTGCTGCACGTCATGGACTGCGTCGGCCGAGGTTGGTAGCGCCGGCGCCGCTTCGGAGAAACCTGACCGGAGTTGGCCGGAGCCTTAGTCACCGCCCGACGCGGCAGTCAGCTGTTTGGCGGCTGGTGCCAGCTGACTTGGCCCTCCAGCTGTTCTTAGATCGCGTTTATAGGTAGCTTTGTTACTGTTAGAGGAGTCATGTGTTTAGTCTGTCGAGTGAAGGTAGGGTCCGATGCCAGAGTTGTATAATGTGTCTTGTCTGTGCCTCTGAATGGTGGGCTTGGCCGTATTCACGCGCCTTAACATCAGTTGGAGCCTGGCCTGCTCAGTATGGCATGAATCATTACCTGATTAAGAGCTCGCTTTTAATGCGTTATCTTGCACCCGAACCAGCCTCGTTTTGCAAAGCGCCGGTACTGGGACCTGCTCGCGGAAAGCGGCCGTTTTGCCCACTCATTAATCCATGCACCAGTCACTGCGCCTAAGCTGTAACATCGTCTTGTCTGGATTGTTCTTGGCCAATAAATGGCATCTTTCTTCCCAGCGTTTCACTCGCTCACATTCCTACCGTCTTCGCGTGGCAGGCCGGTGACAGTTCTGGCGCGCGTGCGGTTCGCGCTCCGCCTCGCGAACACGGCGGCCATGCGTCCCGCTCGCTGACACGTCGTCCTGGGCAGGCTGCGCGGACCTGATGCTGGAGCTTCAGCACGCCATTGACAGAGGGCAGCACCGGGAGGCGGCCGTGCTGGCGCGCCGGCTGGCCGCGCTCAAGGCGGAGAAGAGTCGCCTAGTGGGCGCCACTATTGCGTGAGTAAGGCGCGTCGCCCGCGGACACGGGGCTGGCGCACAAGGGCACCCGGTATGCGGCCAGCAGCTGAAGTGTGTGGGTTGCGTTAGCGGTTTTGTATTGTCTGTCACGGCGACATTGATGTGACTTGTGACGCCTCACTGAATGGTTCCAATTGTTTGGCACCTCCATGGGAACCAGTGCATCACTCGTTTGAATTATCCATTCCGAACCAGCGTTTTTTTTTGGGGGGGGGGGGGGTACGGGCTCAGTTCAGCGATATCCGTGTCGTACAAATCTGCTGCCGCTGTTCCGCCGCTGCTAAAACTGGCAGTCCATGCAGCCTACAAGGGCTGTGCCAGTGCGATCTCTTCCCTTTCGTACGGCTCGATCGCCGCACGTGCTCGCGCTGACCCGCGTCGCCGGCCGGCAGTGTGGACCTGTTCGTGGAGGACCGTGCCTGCCACGTGGGGCCCATCCCGCTCCGGCTGTCCCCGCTGATGGCGGTGCACGAGCTCAAAGCACAGGTCTGTGTCGCCGCCGGCCGGGCCACTGGTGACGCGGGGATCAGCATGGTGTCGCTGACACGCCGTCGGCTCGGCTGCGCGTGGCTATTGTTTTTGTTCGTCTCCGATTTCGTCATGACCCCGGAGTAGGAGTAAACTGCAGATTGTATGACGTCCTCCACAGATATCTAAGCTACCTTGTGTAATGAAGCAAAATAGGTCAACCTAATCCGAATGAAAATCCCATTACAGCTCGTGCACATTTATATATATATATATATATATATATATATATATATATATATATATATATATATTGACATATCGGTGCAATTATATAGCCTTGTAGTTCCCTTATCACGCATATGTCAACGCTGTCATAATGAGCCGCGTGCAAGTATTTGAAGAAAATAACGCCGAAAATTTGTGAGAACCCGACGTGGTATGGTACCGATTTGATGATCTTCACCGGATGGCCATGTATATAGACATGACCATCTGTACCATAGTGTAAAATATGTAATGTGGATGGTATTGTACTTCATAGGGTCGGGTACTGAGACAGACGACCTTCATCACACCATGAAGTACTAGTTAAACGAGGGCATCAATCGTTCGGATATTTGTGAGAATGCGCAATGTTCCAAGGCAGTGCTTATGGGCACGAGTGAAGAAGACTAAACGAAAATCGATATCGAAAACTTAAGATACATAACAGACTGGGAATGTTCGGAATATGTATATACTCTGCCAATGATAGGACAGCAAAATTATGCGCTATTCATCCCCCCCCCCACATCCGAGCACACGATACTCGGTACGATGCCAGGAAATGCAGTGTAGATTCCAGATGGATACTCCGAAAGGTCGCGATGACCGTGCCGAGTGTAAGGCACATACCAACACCAACAAGCTCGGTCCGATAGTTCAGACTCCCTTACATAGCGCCAGGCGCAGGGTACCGTGATGAGGGCTCTGTGGTTCAGACTCCTGCACCATAACGTCAGGCACAGGGCACTGCGCTGAGGGCTGCCCGGTGGTTCAGACTCCCACGCCATAACGCCAGGCACAGGGTACTGTGCTGAGGACTCGGTGGTTCAGACTCCCACGCCATAACGCCAAGCGCAGGGTACTGTGCTGAGGGCTCGGTGGTTCAGACGCCCACGCCATAACGCCAAGCGCAGGGTACTGTGCTGAGGGCTCGGTGGTTCAGACGCCCACGCCATAACGCCAGGCACAGGGTACTGTGCTGAGGGCCCGGTGGTTCAGACTCCCACACCATAACGCCAGGCACAGGGTACTGTGCTGAGGGCCCGGTGGTTCAGACTCCCACACCATAACGCCAGGCGTAGGGTACTGAGCTGAGGGCTCGGTGGTTCGGACTCCCACACCATGACGCCAGGCGCAGGGCACTGCGCTGAGGGCTGCCTCAGCCATTGGCCGCTTAGAACCAAGGCTTCGATAACTCGTACCAAGTGAGAGGTACTTGTACTTAAGTGATTTGCCACTTAACAACACGGTTGAAAACAACGACCATCAAACTATTTTGTAACGTGCGTTTCCTAAAAGCGCTGCTGAAAGCGCGTTCAAAGACATTTGCGTGTTAAAACTGCTCAAGGTCAGTAACTCACCAGGAATTTCGCGCTTTATGTCAGTATGGCGATAGTAGTTGGAGGTTTAACGACGCCTTCAGTAGCTAAGGTCATGAAACCCCGGCATGTTCTGCGTCAATTGTGGCGGGGACGACGCATCTCGGGACCTGGCGCCAGGTTCGAGTCTCACCACTTCCCACATACGGCAAGATGTTTAAACGCTCTCCTAACTCAACTCCCCCAGCTCCCTATGTCAAAGCGGCGTAGTTATTGTGGCGTGCACGGTGTCAAGTTTAAATGGAAATGCGTTTTCAAAGAAATTTAAAGGCTTCATGTGATGACGTTAGTAGCCAACAGGTCACCAAATCGGAATGTGCCCGCGTCGTATATTCATATTCCCGTTCGATTCATCTCATCCGGGCTGTGTTTTTTTCAAGATGTTGGTTTGTCACCCAAATGTTTCAAATGGAAACTGCGAAATCACGGGAATTGGGAATTATCGAAAGTTTGCGAGTACTGTCCGGTTCTTGGTGACGTATGATGTCGGTGGACATATGGCATGAGCCACGCTGCGAGTTGACTTGAGCTACACGGCGAACCGACTTGAGCTACATAGTAAGCCGACATGAGCCATGACGCGGTCCGACGCGCGACGTATGTTAGCCCGAGCCGGGATGTGACCTCACTTGACGCGTCACATTGACGTGACTTGCGTCACGGCGTGACCTGATGCGACCCAACACGACCTGGCCGGACCGGTCGTGCGCCACATCATGACCTGACCTGACGTGGGGCGCACTGTGACCTGGCTGACCTGAGCTGACCCGCCGGGCAGATTGAGCGGGACTACGCGCTGCCGGCGCCCTGCCAGCGCTGGATCCTGGACAGCCGGATGGTGGCCGCCACGGTCGAACATCTCAGCTTGGCAGAGAGCGGGGTCACAGACGGCTCGGCCATCTACCTGTACCTCACCCCGACGGCAGGTGAGTGGTCTGTACCTCACCCCGGTGGCAGGTGAGCGGTCTGTACCTCACCCCGATGGCAGGTGAGCGGCCTGAACCTCACCCCGGTGGCAGGTGAGCGGTCTGTGCCTCACCCCGACGGCAGGTGAGCGGTCTGTACCTCACCCCGACGGCAGGTGAGCGGTCTGTACCTCACCCCGACGGCAGGTGAGCGGTCTGTACCTCACCCCGACGGTAGGTGAACGGTCTGTACCTCACCCCGACGGCAGATGAGCGGTCTGTACCTCACCCCGACGGCAGGTGAGTGGTCTGCACCTCACCCCGACGGCAGGTGAGCGGGTTGTACCTCATCTCACCTGTAAATGAGCAGTCTCCCCTGGAACTTGTCTGGCCGGTAACCATTGGTACAGGAAGCGTCCATATTTTAAATTTGTCGCGAAAGTGGTGGGCGATTGTTTGTTTCGGCATCTCTTCGTGTTTGTCTTTTCTTTCTATGATTAACTAGTTGTCAGTGGATGTTTAATGAAACGTGAGCATAGCAGTTGAGCAGTGTGCCGTAAATGAATGTACTGGAGAGGACTGAAAGCGATTTATATGTGCCCTTACTGGTGTGCCAAGAGTTTTTATTTGGGAACACTTCGCTCAAAACTGTTGTCATGATAAGTTTAAGCCTAGGTTGTTTGGGCACATGATGAAAATGGTGCTATGACCATATAGTGTTCTGTGTATTCCACGCATCAGCGGTCAACACTCATCCAGAGAACACAATGGAGCGGGCGCAAAAGTACGTGGGCTCGATTGTCGCCGAACAGTTGGTGGAGCGCCGTTGACTTCTGTGCCATCCCATGGAGCCCGCCTGACCGGTGCGCCCCGACAGGCCACGCCGCCAGCTCGGTGACCGGCCCGGCGACCGGTCCGGCCGTGTCGCCCGCCGCCTTCCTGCGGGCCGGCCCCAGCGGCGGCGGAGACTGCGACACGATCCCCGCCCACGCGGCGCGCACTTCCAGCGGCGAGGAGTTCCACGACGCGGACGACCGTGGCTTGCGTCCCTCGATCGGGCCTGACCACAAGCCGCAGGGTCCCCGGAGCGTGGGCACGGAGCTGCAGAGCCAGAGGAGCCCTGGCACGGAGCAAAAGAGCTTACGAAGTCCCAGCGTCGGGCGACCGAGCCCACAGAATCACAACGCGGAGCCGCAGAGTCCCAACAAGGCGCAGAATGGCTGGGATGGGCCGCAGATAAGCGACGGCGCGGTCAGCGCGAGTGCAGTGACATCTGACGGAAGTGACGCGCACCAGTGGTGCTGTGACGCCGCGCTTGGGGGCGAAAGCCCGGCGTTCGGCCGGCGGCCACGCGCCAACCTCGAGGTGTAAGTATAGTGTTTTTAGACTGGCATGGCGTCACCTCACACCCTGATTACTAATAAAAGCATGGCTCGACGTGATGTGTAGTTTGTTCGGGCGGAATAACAGAGAAATGTCTGCCACACTATTACTGTAGATTGACTCAGCCCCAGACGCGGGGCAACACTGCCGATTTATTCATGCACAGCTCAAGGCTTCTTTTCACTCTGGACGATGATGGTTAGGCTTATATAGATATTTTAGAGTCTCAATGTGGCGAGCGACAGGCCGAGTGCGCTGGCGATGTTGGAAACCGCGCCGTTGTGCGGCAGCAGCGTGGAGTCACTGATAACGCACCTGTTGGTAGCCCGCCGCCACTGCCCGTGAAGAAGCGACATCTGGTGGCCATGACGTCATTCGACACGGCGTCTCGAGACAAGGATGCGAGCAGCGGGTCGGCTTTGGTGCAAGGTGTGTGGACGTCTTGCAATGCTTGCGACCAAAAAAGAAACGGAATGCATAGGACAGAACGAGGGGCTGGAATACATGTTTCCCAAAATTGATTTTAGAGAGCCGATGCTTTTTCGTGTGACATTTTCGGTGTTTCAAGGGACGCATGATCAATAGGTGCCTAGGGACACAAGAAGTAACTTTTTCTTGACATTGAGGGGTCGAACATTGACAAAGAGATATTTATGCTCCTCGTTTTACCCTCTATTTTGCCTTGTCTTGTGGCAGTGTATGAAAGGGGAGGGGACGACGGTGTAGTGAACAACGCAGCGTGTTGCTCGTGTTATAGGCTATACACTTTATGCACACGTGCCTACTTTTTCATTGTGTATGAAGGTGAAGTGAAGACCAGGTCCACGGTGTGCTCTTTTACAGAGCAGAGTCGGACCGTCGCGCCGGCCATCGGTCCTCCGCAGACCCCGCCCACCTCCCGTGCGTCCGCCGCGGAGCCGAGCCCCGCCCGCGATCCCGCCAGCTCCCCGGCCGGCAACGGCGGCGCCGGCACGCTGACCGTCTGGGCCTCCGACGCGGCTGACCCGCGGCCGGCCTCCTCCTCACCGCCGCCTCCACTGCCGGTGAAGCTCCGCCTGCCCTCGCCGGGCCTCGTGCGGCGCAGCGAGGCCGAAACGAGCACGCTCGCGAGGCGGGACGAGGGCTCGTCCTCGTCAAGCGCCAGGCCGGCGGCGGCGAACGGGGCGGCTCAGCCGCGACTCGCCGCCGTCCGCGGGGACGGCTCGACGAGCGGCGAGACCGGCCCCGCTGCGCCGTCGCCCGCGCCGGCGGCGAGCGAGGCGGTGCGGCCCAAGCCGGCTCCGGCGCCGCACCTCGCCGGCCTGGTGCGGCGCCCGACTCCGGCGCAGGAGACGGCGCTGTCAGAGGAGCGGAGTGCGGACGTGCCGGTGTGGTGCGGCTCCGGCCCGCAGCGGGAGTCAGACTCGGCTGATGTGGAGCAGGGGCAGAGCGAGTCCCCCGGCCAGGCCGGGGCCGCCGCGCCACCAGCACCGGCCAGAGCGGCCTGCGAGCCGGCCAGTTACGCCTGTCCTGCGGCGGTTGGAGGGGCCGTCATGGCCGCCGCCGCCGAGGAGACGGCTACAGCAGGTACTGTCGCTGCTCCTCGAGGCAAGGACACTGCCGCTGCTGCTGTCAACGCGGCTGCACCAGCCGCCGGTCTCGCGACGTCGGCTCCCATCGTCAATGGTTCTGCTGCGCAAGACCTCAGCGTGTCAGGAATTAGGACCGGGATCAAGACGGCGCCGGTGACCGTGGCCGCTGACCCGACTCTCGCAGCTGGAGCTGAAGCAAAGGTCATCAACGTTGCGCTGGACTCTTCTGCTATGGTATCTGCTGCGCGTGGCCTAAACGGCGTGACCCCCGCGCGGAAGGTTGGTCCCGCAACGTCAAACGCCACTATCAAGGACCCGATAGCGATGTGTAAGGAACCTCCACCGGCAGCCAGCTCCGCGGCTGCTGAGGGGGTCGTCTTCAAGGTCACCTCTCCGATTACCAAGGTCGCCGACCCCGCGACTGAGGGTGTGGGGTGTTCTAGAAGCGTCGCTTCCGCTGCCAGTGTCGTCTCGTCCACGTCCAAAGCTGCTGCCCCGGCAGCGAAGGGTGTTGTCTCCACCACCAAGACCTCCGCTTCGACTGCCAAGGTCGTGTCCGCCTCTCCTAAGGTCGTGTCTCCCTCGGGAGGCGTGTCCGCTGCCAGTGCCAAAGTAAGCGTCGCGCCATGTAAGGTTACAAGCACCACTGCCAAGACGTCTACCTCATCAGTGAAGACCTCGACTCCGCTGTCCAGAACCGCAGCCTCAGCCAGGGTAACGGCGCTCTCTCTTTCCGCTCCGACGGCTGCTAAAGCATCTCCGAGCGCACATAACCCAGGCAAGGTGACAACCACCGCACAGCCAGTGACTAAGGGACCGTACGCTGTTCATGCCGTGGCTGGAGGGACTTCTGTAGCTGGTAAAGGGACTTTAAACTCCGAGCGGCCTGCCAAAGCAACGACATCTACCCAGTCGGCTACTAAGACGCAGTTCGCTGCGTCGTCGCCCACCAAGGTCTATGCTCCTGCCCGGACTGCTGCCAAGGCTTCTCCTGCTTCTTCGGTCACAGTCAAGGCTTCTCCGGCTTCCTCGGCCACGGTCAAGGCTTCTCCGGTTTCTTCGGCCACCGCCAAGGCTTCTCTAGCTTCTTCAACCACGACCAAGGCCTCTTCCGCCTCCGCACCTAAAGCCCCCTCTGCCAAAGCCTCGTCCATCTCCGCAGCCAACACCGCACCCTCTCCCTTCTCCCCAGCCCGTGCCAAAGCCTCTCCCGCTACCTCCTCATCCGCCAGGCCCTCCCCCGCCTCCCCGCCCCGCGCTAAAGCCTCCCCCGCTTCCCCAGCCGTCGCGAGGCCCTCCGCCGCCTCCCCGGGCGGCGCCGCGGCGCTTCCCCGCTCGCGCCGGTCGCCGGCGGCGGTGCGACGCCGCTCCTCCGGCGCCGTTCTGGAGAAGGTGGCGCTGTTCTCAGGCGGCGGCGTGGCTGGCCGCGTGCCGCCGCCGCCGCCGCCGCCTGAGCCGGCTGCCGCCAACTACGCCGCCCACCTGGAGGCCATGCGCCAAGAGCTGGTGCCCAACGCCGAGCCGTTCGAGTGTCCCGTGTGCTTCTGTGAGGTGGCCGCCGGCGCAGGCGTGGTGCTGAGGGAATGTCTGCACACCTTCTGCCGGTAAGGCACGCCGCTGGCGTGAAAGCATTTGCCGTGGGGGTTGAGGCGCCGCCAGGTGAATGCGTATGTTGCGTTGGGCGTCTGTTATGTGGTTGCTTGGCGTAATGCATTAAAGAGGTCCCGTAACTGATTGCACTGACTGAAGCGTGGTACCAGTTCTAACTTCTCTGCTACGTTAGCAGCTGCCAGCTGCGACCAGCTAAGCAGCTGGTAACCGCTGATGCAAAGCCGCGGTTACGTAATCAAATAATCGATCACGCGCCGTACGATGTTCGAGAAGTACTCGGTTGATTGTGTCGGGGCCAGGCGGCGCCCTGCAGTCCCCTCCGTTGCAGTTCGTTATGCGTCATCGCCGTGTTCGTGTGTTTCAGAGAATGCCTGGCGGGGACGGTGAACCACTCCGACACGGCCGTGGTCAAATGTCCTTACATGAGCTCAAAGTACAGCTGCCAGAGCATCGTTCAGGAGGTGGAGATCAAAGCGGTGAGTTTGCGCTCGAGCCCGGTGTCAAGCGGGTGTCGCCTGGGGCAGTGGCACGGTCAGGGGGCGCTGAAATATCGGCTCGGTAAAGACTTCGGGGCGATGATGTGTGATGCATTCGTTTGTTTTATGACCAGTCAAAGATGTGATCGCAGATGAGTGCTGCGAGCATGCTGTAGAAACTTGGCGTCCCGTCCTGATGGCATGCTTAACGGTTCGAAAACTGGCAGTAGATAGTTTCAACAAGCCACGATGTCTATGTGCGCATCACATCCATCCACTTAACTCAGAGGTAATGGGTTTTGTACTTTGGATGCCAGTAAATCCGGACAGTAGCTACCCCAGGAGGGTGACGGCCAACTCGTGCTCCGCCTAACCCCACGTCGCACGCTCCCAGCTGGTGACCCCCGCCGAGTACGAGCGCCATCTGGCACGCTCCCTGAACCACGCCAAGGTGAACGCGGCCGACTCGTTCCACTGCCGCTCGCCCAACTGCAGCGGCTGGTGCATGTTCGAGGACAACGTCAACGTCTTCCGCTGCCCCGTCTGCCGCCGCTCCAACTGCCTGACGTGCCGGTGAGCTTCGTCGCACTGTATCGCAGGGCGGGGCGGTGCATGTGATGGTCGCGAAGCGGCGGTGAGGAACGCCACTGTCGGTGGGTTCGTGCCGACGCCGTCTCCGCTGCCGCCAGGGCTATTCACGAGGACTGCGACTGCAAGACGTACCAGCGTCGACTGCAGGACCAGGCCGAGACCAGTGAGGACGCCAAGAAGACGCAGCAGTTTTTGGACGTGAGTGATGCGTTCCCCGGCACCCGGTTGTGCCGCTGTACCCAGGTTCGTGCACGCCCGGATGTACGGACCGCTTTCCTCTGAACTCATCTAATAGGGTTGTTTGTCAACGTGTGTCTGTGGCCTGCCTCGCTCCCCCCTCGCACGGGCTGGCACGCGTTGACGTAAAAACGAACGTTGAACTAACGTTGGCGTCTCAGATGGAGTTTGTGGCCTATCAGATTTGTGGCGGGCCGCCAACCAATACGATTCTTATTCAGTGCGGGGTTTTCTATGCGACGTCGAAGCGATAAACGAAAGTGTTACCACGCTACAGCACTAATGAACTGACCAGCGCCGTTCTCCGATAAAACGTCTTACGGGACACACGTCAGTGCTGCCTTCGCGAACGGACCGATCAATCTAAGGCGAGGCCGTCCGTCGGTATTTGACCTTGTCATGACCTCTGCCGCTCGTCTCGCCTGACTGCTGACCTCCGACCCCGTCGGCCCGCCGGGCGTTGACCCGTGACCCGTGCGCAGGAGATGGTGTCGCGCGGGGACGCGCTACGCTGCCCCATCTGCGATGTGATCCTGATGAAGAAGTGGGGCTGTGACTGGGTGCGCTGCTCCATGTGCAAGAACGAGGTGTGCTGGATCACCGCCCAGCCGCGCTGGGGACCCGGGGTGAGAACGGCGGGCCGACGGCTCAGCTGATAGCACGCAGGCAAATGATGACACCCTGTGAATTGAAGCAATTATGTTACGTGCCTCACAGCCAGCGAACCCCACTTTGGACACCCCTACAGAGCTGCTATTTGCGCAGATTTAATATGAATTATGCCAAGGGTGTTCTTACTAAGTACTAATCAAATGCTTTTCAGCGATTCTCCATGTTTGCCGCGCCTTAATATTGGTCTCGCTCATACTATTGCTATGATTGCTATGTAGCCTTGAAGTACAGCAATATCCGAGTCCTAACAGCTGTTGCGACGCCTTGGTCGTTACAGTTGTTACACTTTCGAGTTTTATAACTGTTATGACGCCCTAGGCATCACAGGTGTTGGCGCATTGATCCGGATCAGCCACCCTGAATTATTTTGACAACATATCCGAACACAAAATTGAAAGTTAATGCGAGTTATATGATTTGCAATGATTTGCTGTTTTTGCGTATCGTCACATTTACTCTTATTATTCCTAGGCACCATTGGTTCATATGTTGGCGTGATGTCATTGGTTGCCCTTCGATCGATTTGGGAAGGTTTCTAGCGGCTTCGATTTTGATTTCAGGGAAAAGGCGACATATCTGGAGGCTGCCGGTGTGGAGTTAACGGCAAGAAGTGTCATCCGAAGTGTGTCTACTGCCACTGATCGCGTGATGGCCGAAACATGCGTAGTACATAGTTTCGCACTACTCGATTCGAACTCTTTCAAAACAACTCTGCCATTGGCTGCGTCCACGCCAGCTGCCGATTGTTGTCGAACTTTCATGTGTCGTGCAACTATGAATGGTGACCGCTTGAGAATGTTACGCTTATTCGTGTAAGATAACGCTGTTTAGCGTCAGTGAAAGCCAAAAATATAACATTTTGTACCTGGGAAAGCGTTCTGTTATTGGACATTTGTAAAGGGCTTCTCTTACTGTGACTAGTCTCGTAGTGGGCCAAGAGACATGACCATCATATTACATTGTTCGACGTTGATGTTTTTTTATCAGAGAAAAGGTAGTCATTTGGTTGTATTTAGCTATTGACGATATACACGGCACATATCCAGGAGAACACCGGTCTGCGCTCTGGTGAAGTCATCCAGTCGAGGACACTCAGCATCTCTTCTTTTTGACAACGTGGCGTTTCTTCGGTGCACAGGAGTTCTTCCGAGACTTCGAGCGGCGAGCCCTCCTCGGCTTCTTAGCTCCCCCGCAGCCTCCTGATTTCCTCGACCTAGAGCGAGACCGGTGGGCTCTCTTCTTTCCGCCGCCGCCACAGCTAGACTTCTTGGACCTGGAGCGAGATCTCTTTGCTCGTTTCTTGGGCCCGCATCCACCGGATTTCCTGGAACGGGACCTCCTTGATCCACGCCTCTTGGACCCGTGTCGCTTGCCTTTGGAATGCTTGCGACCCCTGCTGGAGCCGCAGCCCTTTTTCTTGTCACCGAGCGGCCATATCTTGACGTCGCTGCCTTTGACATCCAACAGGATTTTCTTCATTTTCGCCATACTGGAATTTCGAGCCCGAACCATTTTCGAAAAATGTTTGGGCGAAACCAATAAAACGATGTTCTCACTGCAAAATTTGGTTTAAAAGTGACAAGCCAGCGCTATTTTTCCTAACCTCGTGAATTTCAACAATAGTTGTGCATGCAAGGTCTATATGCTCGTCGATTCTCCTCATGTGAAGAACTTGTAATATGCCACCTGCTGCTTCTCCTTGTGAAGAAATTTGTTTTTAATCTTTGATCAGTTTTTTCCAGCCTATGTGGTCAGGAATGAAATGTATAATTTATTAGCGAAAAAAGTGCGATAAAAACAGTTACAAGCTCTGCAAATCGAACCCGTGAAAAATCACGTATTCATAGGTGATGATACCTTACACATCCGATCATTTATTGCCTAGCGCCCGCGGAGTGCTCCGGCGATCCTATTAATAAATGCTCAATGAACAGCTGCAAACGACTGTTGGAAACGACAGCTTCCTTTCTGGTCTATGGAATTCAGCCATAATGCCTTTACGTCATTTTGCGGCGTCGATCTGGGCGTTCGATCCAAGTGCATGAGCTTGTGTAAGATAGCGTTTCTTTGGAAACGTTATAGAGGCAAAGCGATTGAGAAAGAGACTTGTACTTTTTATGATGGAACAGTATCCAGGTAATGGAACAATGTGTATATTCAAAGGGAATTAAGATGACCCTACCATCATTGTATACCTGATATTCGTTAAGCAAGTTGTATTTTTTAATTCTTTCCTTTTAATTCTTACCATGTGTTGCATTGCATAATCACTGCATTATCTTAATGTGTATATTTCTTTGTTTTGATGTTATTAGAAGTGTTATAAAAACATTATCGATCAGGTACGTGATTTGTAACATTTTCCTTTCATCTGTTTATCATTGGGGGTTCAAAGGAGCAGGTGTGCGAACGAGCATTGCATTTTTGTTAGCATTTAATGAGAATGTGAAAGGCATATGACGTGCTCTATTTTTTCACTTGAGAGTAGGCTGAAATGGCATTCATTGTATGCGACATGATGTGCAATCTCGAGGCAACACAAAGAGTTGACAGCCACCGAATTCCGGTGAAGATACCCCCCTGAAAAGTGACTGGCGCTCGTGCGGTACATGTGGCCAAGGTGGCAGTTACCACCCGCAATGCGGCCAGAATAAATATGAAAACAGGCAGGAAGGGTTAATAAAATCATCACAGAGGGTTGAAGAAAATTTCAGCGGTGGCAAATGGCCGAAGGCAATCCAGAGCAAGACAGTGAGCCAACTCTCGTGTGAATAACCCAAGCCAGACTTTCCAAAAGCTGCAGGATCATCAAAATTGATGAAAGATTTTTCACTTGCGATCATTCCAGAGCACCTCACAATTATGGGTACCATACCTCAAACTATGTCAAGAATACAAATAGCGTCACGTTGTTGCTGAGAGTCCAGGCTTCCTTAAAAGATGAAAGTGTCGCTAGCTGTGAGTCAGGATGCCCTTTCAAGAGTCTTTCAGAGCTAGTGTTCATGTCCAGCATGGCGGCAATGGGCCAGGGGAATTATCAGAAGGAGAGTGTAATCGAAGGTCCTCTACCATCCATCGCGAAGTATCACCAGGATTGCCAATTGCCGTTTTGACCATATATGGCGCCTGTTCATTATGCCCTAAGCACCCTGCAGCTGCCGCACAGTATGCACTTCCCTTACCTACCGCCAGATGAAAACCGACCCCACCTGCCTCAGATTTAACCCATTGAAAACTTGTGAAATGTAGTAAGACGAGAGGTCTGTAGGGATGGGTTGGAAGCCAAGTCGGAGGCGCCGCTTGAGCAGGGCATGAAATGGACCGTAAAAATATCATGCATGGTGAAATGAAAGCCATAGAATATACGATACGTTAGCTTCCCACGAAGGTGCACCTCGCAAGTGAAAATATCCTCAATTTACTTTGGGTATACTTTATTCACATCGAATTTGGTTCTTTACATGGGTATATTTCAGATCGTCTCCTGATGATCTGGAAAATACCCATTTAAAGTTTGTCTTATTGTGCAGTCCTCACTCATTATACACCAGCGGCCAACCATGTTGCCGACACATTTGAGTGCACCTCAGTGAGAACGAACACACCATACTAGATTATGTGTTTTATGTAACTGGGCTGTTACGGCTCGCGTGCTCGTGAAATGTTCAGAATCCGGTTCTGTATTTCCACCGACTAGTATGGAGGACAGCCACTGCGCATGGTACTGTAACCTTGTATTGACCAGCTAACACAGCAGCACACACACATCCGCCACACATAAAGCCAAGAATGAAAGTGAGCCGCCGGCTGGCGCCGCAGCCACAAACCCGTCACATCTGTCACACGCATACTGACGGAGCGCAGCAGCCGTCTGTCCCGCCACACACCCCCGGCGTCAGCGCGTCACTGTGCGCGTCACATGTCGCGCCTGACTGACGGGGCTGCAGACACGTACATGCTGGTAGGTGGTGCTGGACGAGGGCTGACGGGGCCCAAACTCAACAACTCGACCCAGACCATGTGGTGTCAGAGTCGTTCTGCGTACAAATCGCGCCTCACGCTTTCAGAGTTCTCTAGTGACCTAGATTCTACCGAGGGAGTCCGGTGTGTACGGATGTGAAGTGCGGTCCAGACATGAGAGGCAGACATGGGCTGGGCTAACTGATGTGAAGTGCAGTCCAGACACGAGAGGCAGACTTGGGCTGGCTATGATTGGAGTGGGAATTAATTTCGGAATCAAGCGAATTCTAGCTGAGTCTGCGTTTAATCGATTCCTTCGAAATTTCACCCGGTAGGAGTCGGATGAGGCGACTGGATACCGCTGAAGTGGGCTGCAGCAATGTCCGCCAAGAGATGGCACTGTTTGAATCAGCTGACTGCAAGGAATGATGATGCCGCTTGAGCTGATGTCGGTGGAAATGTTACGAAAGAAGCCAGCACTCTCGCGAGCTTCAGCCTCACGATCTCACGAGCTCGCACAATGCGGTCTTGCTAAGTGCCGGTGCCGTTCGGGGTCTTGGCAAACTTACTTGACGGGATTCACGGGCTCTGACGTAGTTACCAATTTCGTCATCAAACAGGGATAAGCCGGATGATAACACGAAGCACTTATAGCTCCTTCAGGGAGAGCAGCTTTGGCGTGTATCAAAGCTCACTTCAAGGTAGGAAGGGAGGAAGGAAGGTTCAGTCAGGCATTTTTCTTTGGGACTTTATCCGTTCTAGGGACACGCTGACTGTTGTAACTGTGGTACTGATACGAATAGAGTGCAGCACCGTGCGAGTAACCTGGATTAACTGCTTGTTGCCATTCACCGCTTAAGGACCGCATTAACACTCGGAATACCCATGGAATAGCTCCTTAAGTGGCTGAGTCATGTTAGCTTCAACATTCACTCCTTCCAAACGCGAAGTGTGTGTTGCGGCAAAGAGACGAAACACCAGGTCATGGGCCGATGTGGGAGAGACCTCCGAATCTACGAATGATGTTTTGCGGTCCTCGTTCTACAATATACAGCGTCTACGCGGGTTTGTGTTAAGCTCATTGTACAGGTCCTGGGCAGCTATACAAAACATCAATTCAACACATAATACCGATCCGCAATATTTACAACGTCTCGAAAATATGCACGCAATAATGCCACATCGCAGTATGTTGGGAAAGAAGCGCATTTTACAACGGCGTATCATACAGGATCACGTAAGGAGGTACCATGACAAATCTACCAATACATAACCTTTGTTGAATCACGTTCAGACCATGACGTCATGCCCGCGACCCATTGCGCTTTTGCACTGAGCGAGCGATTGGCTCTTGTGACGCCCGAACACTGAGGCGGTGACATCTTGGATTCTCACTCATCGCTCACTACTTTGTTTGTCTGGCTGTAATAGTGTGGCGACTACGGATGCCAACACACCTACCGTACCCTTAACATAGCGGTCTGCGCCATGATGGTGCAGCTAATGTACGCTCACCCCACAACGGTGGTCAAAATGTATCGAGACCCATCGGGAACCTCGCATAACGACAAACACACCGAAGCGCACACACGTTCGTGCTCAAACCATTCAAACACAACATCTTGTCCACCACACCGCCCCCCCCCCCCCCCCACCCACCGACCCCAACCCACCCCAATGCCCTTTCCCCTTCTCACGCCTAAATTGGGGTCGGCATAACGGTGAAGTCGTGAATCGCGGCCTTCATCGTTTCGTAGATCGGCCGGTACTCCTCGGTGGCGCCACTGTCGCCGTACATGCCGTGCAATCGCGAGAAGTACGAGTCGAAGGCGGGCTGCGCCAACCGATCCGCCGAGCTGGGCGCCTTTACGTGCTCCAGCAGCGAGATCATGTTGGTGCGGAACGAGTCGTAGTAGTCGTTCAGCGCCGTGCCCGCCTGGTTCGCCGGCGTCGTCACGTCACCAACCTGCTGATGGGCGGAGATTAGCGCCGTCTCCGGCGGACCAGGGTTGGCATCTCGGACAGGGCTGGAAATTTAATACTATGGGGCGCGCGGAAATCGATATCACGCAGCGTGTGGATTGGACCGGACCGTGGTACAAGTTGTCATGTTTTGGGTCGCGGTTGTTGTTTACCGCGAATAAAGGACTTGAAAATAGATAGCTCAAAAAAACAAAGAAGTGAGCAAAATAGACAACTTGTTTGATAGGGAACATCGGCGAGAGCTTTGGCTCATAACCACACATTGTGAGCCAGCGTGAAGGTGTCGTGAAACAAGCTGACCTTCCTCCAAGAGACATCAGCTTCCAGCCATACCCACTCCGGCGCAGGACTGCGGACACCGGCCAGGCCGCCGATACGAAACCGAGCCATCGTCCGCCGCTTACCCGATTGTCTTTGATCTGGGTGGTCACGGAGAGACTGGTGACATCTGTCGCCGACACGGACAGCTTGGCCGACCCGGAGCCCGGCCGGGCAGTGGGCCCGGGGGCGATTCCCTCGCCGGTCGCCCCTGAAACGCGAGCAACGGCTGCGGAACCGGAACTCGCCGGCGCGACAAGACCAGCTCGGACGATCCCCGCGGAGTGGGGTGCACAAAGCATATGATTTTACGGCAGCATTGTTTGATTCGTCGATAGATCGTTGCGTCACGTATATCTTGACTGCCACCTGAATGCACAATTGTGGTTACCGGACGACCCATTAAGGTGGTTTGAATGCCCATCGCTATGATTGTATTACCCTGCCGTATACACCGTACGCCTGTCTATCGGTCAGTCCAATATCGAACCGCAACACGGGAAGGGTAGAAAATACCCCACTTTGCGACATTTCATATCACGAGTTGCATGGCAAAGTATCAGCTGGCCTAATGCATTTTCAGGCACTCGCTCTCCCAGTTTTTGGCTCGTGGCAGTGCACTTGCCTGTCCTGACTGCACTACCCGACGCCCGATGCTCATTCCCACGAAACGACGCCATCAGAGTAGCTAGAGTGCATTCGACGCAACGGCCACTGCTGCTCACTCACTGACCGACGAGCGCCGGCCAACGCTGCCCACTCACTAACCGACGAGCGGCGGCCACTGCTTCCCACTCACCAACCAACGAGTGGCGGTCACCCCCGCCTATTCACCGATCAACGGCCTGGGCCAGCGCTGCCCACTCACCGACCGACGAGCGGCGGTCACTGCTGTCCACTCACTGACCAACGCCCGGCGGCCACCGCTGCCCACTCACCGACCGTCAAGCGGCGGTCACCGCTGCCCACTGACCGACCGACAGGCGACGGTCACCGCTGCCCACTCACCGACCGACGCGCGGCGGTCACTGCTGCCCACTTACCGACGGACGAGCGGCGGTCACTGCTGCTCACTTACCGACGGACGAGCGGCGGCCAGAGGAGTCGAGCGGCGGCTTCTTCGAGTCGGCGATGGCGGCCGGGTAGGAGCCGGTCATGTAGGGAGAACCGAACCCGCTGCCGCCCATGTACGTGCCCATTGATATGGAGTTGATCATGCCCAGACTGGAGTAGGAGCGGTCGGCCGCGCCCGAGGCATCCATGGAGCGCTTGTTCCGGTTGGCCACCGGACAGCCGGAGGCGCTGTGAACACGGAACAGGCTCGGTCTTGCAGCAGGTGAGCGGTGGTCACTGACGGCTTTCGGCGTCGAGCCAAGTCAACACACCAACGGATAGGTAGGAGGGAGTGGCCTGGCAGATACTTCAGGCGCGTGTTTGGCCCGCGGGGGAGCATACATACGTACTAATGAATTGCGTGTTTTCATTTCCTTAACGCCGTGTAGAGAACAGTGATCTGCGCATCGAGCAGATATTACCAGTTGCCAGCCTTGTGTGGCGTGGGACGAGGAAATTATAACGAGCGTAAAAGTTCTTACTGCCGATCTCGTGTATACCAAAATCTGTGCTAATGGATCCAAACGCCTTTGGGAACCGTAGAAAAGGGTCTTATCAATGCGCGGGATGGCGTGTGTTTTATGAGAGTGCAACAGGCGGTGGCTCGATTCTGAAGCTTTCGAGCGCTAATTCACAAATCCCAGCCATCGCATGCCCAATCTCTCGGCCCTGAAGGCTGGACCAGGGTGTTGTAACCGTGACCACCTTCAACGACGGTGGCAGTGAATGTTTTCCGTTCGGCTCATCATGCCCTGATGAGTCGGCATTGTTGAAATCGCTTGCGATTTGTAAAGTTGCGTGCAGTTGGTTCACATCCATCGTGCAATGAGTTTCGTATCTTCACTTGCCCTAGTTGTCGATACCTGATACCAGAGATTTGTGACGACCCAAAACGGGTGGATTCACGGTTTGGGCACGAACGCGCGTGATCAATTGTATGGATTGATGTTTTTTTTTTACCAATATGAGTCTTCGGTCACCCCTCCGTCAGAACGTACCGAACCCATACTACTGTGCTGTGGGCTTGTCAAGACCTTGGTCCAGGCTCGACACGTGATAAGCAGTTTTGTATGCAATCAGTAAATTCTACATTTCCCAAGTCAGTAAAATGCTGACATGAAAATTGGTTATATTTCGTTGAAATTTGATCAAGGCAAGGAAATCAGGCCTAATCAAACGGCATCTATGTAAATACCTTAAAAGTCATACAGCACAGCTTTTGCCATATTGCGCTAGTTGCTGCCGAATATTACATGAAACTGCAAAAGTAGCACTGGAAATATTTTGGCATTCCAAAAGCCTGAAGACCGGACCTGGCTACGTAGTTTATGTTCAGAGTTTTTCTACCGCATAAAAAGACACGCTTTGTGCCCGGCCTCGCTCGTAGCAACTTCCAGTGCACTTGGATCACTTGCGGTCGGGGGAGATTCAAAGACCGAGGCTGAGTCCGGCTCCTCTCGCGGCGCCCACCGTGTCCCCCAGAGTCGGCGCCCTCACCCCGTCCCACCAGAGCCGGCGCGCTCACGCCGCGAGCCCACCGCGCCGCTCGCTCCTCTCGCAGCGACAGCCAGCGCTCACCTGCGGTGGCTGAGGAACTTGCCGGTCACGTGGCCGGAGCCGTCGCAGCCGGGCACCGGACAGCGCAGCGGCTCGCTGTCCTGGCCGTCCCGACGGCCCTTGGGCTTGTTGGCGCGCGGACAGCCGGACAGACTGCGGAGGGGGCACAATTAGGGCGGCTGCGGATGGCGCGCTGCTCGGGCGGCTGCGGAGAGGGCGCTGCTAAGGCGGCTGCGGAGAGGGCGCGATAAGGGCGGCTGCGGATGGGGCGCTGCTCGGGATACTGCGGAGAGGGTGCGAATAGGGCGGTTGCGGATAGGGCGCTGCTCAGGCGACTGCGGAGATGGCACTGCTAGGGCGACTGCGGATAGGGCGCGACTGGGGCGGCTGCGGATAGGGCGCTGCTCGGGCGTGTGCGAATAGGGCGCTGCACGGGCGAATGCGGAGAGGGCGTGATAAGGGCGGCTGCGAGGGCGCTGCTCGGGCGACTGCGGATAGGGCGCGATTGGGGCGGCTGCGGAGAGGGCGCTGCACGGGCGAATGCGGAGAGGGCGTGGTAAGGGCGGCTGCGGATAGGGCGCTGCGCGGCCGACTGCGGAGAGGGCGCTGCTAGGGCGGCTGCGGAAACGGCGCGGTTGGAGCGACTGCCAAGAAGGTATGGTTAGGGTGGCCTCCACCGTGAGCAACTCAGGGTTGGGGAGACAGAACTGTGGCGGTGTGATAGAACCGTGTTCCACCGGATTTGGGGCAGTGCTGGAGCAACAACGAAACAAGGGGCAGTCATCCCGGTTCGTGGGGTAAATCTAACAGCCTATGGCGTTTTGTGGCACAAGCGGATGCAAAGCCGGCAGTGACCTGCAAGCTTGCTCGAAGTCCCTTTGTCCCCAGTTTTGAATTTCCCATGGTCGCGTGTTTGCACACTGCGACAAGTGATAAAAGAGTCCTTGAGGGGTTTGCTCACACGGCCAGGATTTTGGAACGACTCTCTCAATGGTTGGGTCGGAGCCTCGCTGACGAAGGCGTAAAATCGACAACAACCAACACACGATACAGCTATACATACACCTTGTTCAAGCAACTGTGCAATTTACGAAGTCCGTCCTAATCGCAAACGTCTGCAACATGACAGGAAATCCTCCCACCGACAATCCGGAGGCATCCGAACCGTGAATCGGCCATATCCCAACTACCCGTGCCCGCCCGAGGTATGCCGGCCGGCATGTCCAGGTCAACGCACTGGACTGACCTGCGGTGGGTGGCATAGTTGCCGGTAGCGTGCCCCATGCCGTCGCAGCCGGGGGTCGGGCACGATATCAGCTCCCGGCCGTCCCTGCCGCGGGGGCGCGTATACGTGAACGGGGTGGACCTGTCGAGAGACAGCACGTGGTCGCTGCGGACTGTCTGATTGGTCAGCGGCGGCGGCGTGCGGCCATAGCCGACACGCCACACGTAGCGAACATGGTCTTGTTATACGTGCAGGCGAACCCGATCGAACAGCTTACGTCATGAGTGATAATGGTCGTTCGATTAGAGGCTGTAATCGACAGGGCAATGCTGTGCAAGTTTACTTTGTAACGTAGTTTTAATGAGATTGTTCCGATATTGGTAACGGGCAACACTTATTGGAAAGCAAGCGTCAGTGAGAAGCAGTTGTTCAGAAGCAAAGTATGGCATGCAAACGCAGTTTGCGAGAACCTTTCGTGATTCATCATTCCCATTTTCAGGGTCGGGGCAGGGAGTGGGCCATATCTCACCAACTTATTGCGGATGTTCAACATTAACCCTATGATGACGCATGGAAATGGTGACGACTGACATGTTAAAGAAGAAGGGAAATGTTCCTGGTCCTGATCCCCATCCCAACCGTTATCCTGATCCTGATCTTTCCTGAGTTGCTTGGTTGAGTTCGGTCAGAGCTTATATGACCCTCATATCACACCAGTATTGTGGGAGAGCTATGGAATCAAGGGAAGAGGTAAACAGTGGCATACAACTGCAACTTTACTGCCAGCGAGTTTCAGAGCCAAGACTTATCCCGTAGGAAACCCCGCCACAGTAAAGCTTCGGCCCTGAGGGTGCCCGGGCAGGACTATGAACCGTACCGGATCGACCCCTTGCGCTCCGCGACCGTATCTGGCTGCAGTAGAACCCGGGCGTGGCGAGGTGTATGGCGCTGCGGCAACCTACGCCAGCAGGGTGGGACGCCCGGCAGGGTCGGGCGGCCACCGGAAAAGTGGGGAGAGGAGAGCAATCCTTACTTGATTTCAGCCATTTCCATGCACCAGCATGGGGAAGATGGCCAACTTCCCCCAAAGTGGGTGTGGGTGGGGGGGGGGGGGGGGGGGGGGTCTCGGTGCCCCTGCCCTACACCCTTTCTGGGACTAGCGCCGAGGCAGATGCGCGTTCGAGGTTGGAAGTTGGCAGGTGCCGCAGCTGAGCTGGGCAGCCCGGACCGTGCCCAGCAGCGGCAGCCGTGCAGCGTCCACTCACAGGTCGCGCTGCAGGGTCTCGCTGCCGTTGAGCGGCTTCCCTGCCGCCACCGAGTACGGCACGGTGTACGGCGAGTACGCCGTCGCCGGCGCGTAGTTGGTCGTGTAGGCGGCGCTGTAGTCGGCCCCGTAGCCGAAGCTCTGGTAGGCGGCGCCGTTGTAGGTGACGCCGGCGTCATACGCCGGCCGGTGGTACGTCAGCGACGTGGAGTAGGTGGCTGGAAACAGCGTGAATCCATCACGGTCCTAGCGCGCGTTTGACACTGAGACGAACGGGTAGGCTGCAGGGGCAATTCGCATCTCACGGCCTTTCGGACGCAAGCGACGCCGAAAGGCATCGTCGAACCACTCCCTCTCTGACAAACGTCACATTTGACCAAGACCACTGTCATGACGTGAGCGTTGCACGGCCCTACCACGATCATCATCTCCCGATAGGTGGACTGGGCGGCTGCAGCGACGGCGACGGAGGCAGCACCGGCCCGCTTCTGGGTCGTTTGAGTCGACACCCGCCGGCATCCACCACCTCCATTTTGGACACAAACACGAGCGCCTCCACTCGTCGTGGCGACGAAAGCTCCAAGGAACTGCGCGACAATTAGTCATGGATCTCCGTTTGCCCTACCGGGACGCTGTGACGGGCATCAAACTCACGATTGATCGTACCGCGGTACATGACGGTCTGGGAGTCCGTGTACTCCATCGTCTCCTGGTAGGTGGGCTGGGCGGCGGCGGCCGCGGCGGCAGCAGGCGGCAGCGGCGGCCGCCGCCGCGCTGGCTTGCTCTGGAGTTGTTTGAGGCGTGGTGGACTGCACCAACTGACTGGAAGTGGCCGGCTGTTGCTGCTGTTGCTGCTGTTGCTGCTGTTGCTGTTGCTGCTGTTGTTGCTGCTGTTGTCGCTGTTGCTGCTGTTGCTGTTGTTGTTGTTGTTGCTGCTGCTGCTGCTGTTGCTGTTGTTGTTGTTGTTGTTGCTGCTGTTGTTGCTGTTGTTGGTGCTGCTGCTGCTGCTGCTGTTGCTGCTGCTGCTGTTGGGGTTGCGGAACTTGCTGTTGCTGCTGCGAGGTAGCCACGGCGTAGTCGTCCCGGGAATATATAACCTGCCGTCAGACAGGCAAATACATCAGGAGTGTGTAGTGAACACAACTTCTGTTGGAAATGTTCCTATAGTGTAAACCGACAGCCCAAAATGTCCTGAACTATGTAGCAAATGTTGTTTAGTTTTAGCCTACACGAGGTCCCGCCAATCATATCATTTTATCTTTATCGAGTTGCGTAACAAACAGCGGACGTACTAGAACACTGAACACCAGGCAGTTAAGCAGTCCATATGTACCTGTGTGCCAACCATTTCGGCGTGCTGCACAGTGTGAGGGGGCAGGCGACGGACCTGGTTATGGGTGACGCAGTCGATGGCGCGGCCCAGCGAGAAATCCACCGGCGAGTTGTTGGAGAAGTCCACGGGCTCCGTCTGCTCCCCGAACGACGACTGCGACTCTACCCGTGGCGGCGGACTGTACGCCGGACTGCTGGGCCTGCCGGCGCAGTCACAGTCACGCCAACCGGTCACCAACGCAGTCACAGTCACACGGACCAGCCACCGACGAGGTCATAGTCACGCGGACGGACCACCAACGCAGTCACAGTCACGCGGACCGACCACCAACGCAGTCACAGTCACGCGGACCGATCACCGACGCAGTCACAGTCACGCGGACCGGCCACCAACGCAGTCACAGTCACGCGGACCGGCCACCGACGCGGTCACAGTCACACAGACCGACCACCGACGAGGTCACAATCACACGGACCGGCTACCAACGCAGTCACAGTCACGCGGACCGGCCACCAACGCAGTCACAGTCGCGCGGACCGGCCACCACGCAGTCACAGTCACGCGGACCGGCCACCAACGCAGTCACAGTCGCGGCGGCGGCCAGTGCTTCAGGCGCGTTATCTGCTGCGGCCACGCTCGCATTGCCATAGCGGCGGTCTCGGGTTATGAAGGCAGATACAGTCGCCGTCACAGGGTATCGGTACAGACGCGTGCAGCGATTTGGTGACTGTCGGTCACAAACGGTCATCCGATGGAACACGACGGGATTAGTGAGAGGCCGAAGAGGTGGATGGTGCTGCCACCTTTGGAGAGGTCAGGTGCTATCATCTACACAGCGCGGCGGCCGTATTCTCTTTCTCGTCTGATAATGACAAAATGATGGCCGCATTTTGCTGCAGGCTCGAGGTGGAGTGCCGCTGTCAACTTCGCGGCGATTCAGGTCATATCGTTTTTGCGGAATGACCTGACTGATCTACCCATGGGCTCTTCCACCACTGATATACAGCATGGAGAGGTCCCTGATCCCCGCGACATCACATGGAACATCTTGGGTGCAACATGACCACCGAAGACGCTGTATCCTCAGACTCTGTCAGCAAATGTGGAACACTCGATGTGTTGAAGATGCATTCTGCATAACACTGAGTCAAAACCACCCAAAAAGTTTCCGCAGTACCCGCGAATTCAGCGAGCTCATCGGAGCTACAGAGAGAGAGAGAG